ATGTTGAATGAAACCAGTTCACTCCCAAGGAAACAGACGACCCAAAAAGGAGGACGATTTAAGTCACTGAAGAAGCAAGTATCCAAAGAAAATGTGTATGGCCATTTTCGAAAACATCGTTTCACCTACACATTTATGTTACTGACTGGTGTTTACGCCGTTAACCTTATTCCTAGCACCGTGATCACACTTCTTTCTATTGTTCTTGGAGAGCACACATTTTGGTATCGCCTATCTTATGCTGAACTTCAACTTAGTTTGCTGGCCTATAACTCAGATATTATAGACTCTACGATTCATCCCTTTATTTATGGACTTTTGGATACAAAATTAAAAACAGAGATAAAAAGAACTTTTAAATGCTAAAGATTGAATAATTTGCTGTGAAACAATTTGCACTGTAGATCGATCAATTAATTTATGCAAAACATTATTTTCGACAGAATGTTTGGTATTTCATATAGCAAAATTTTTTTTCACGAAATTTGGATTTTCTTGTACATACGTAATAAAGTATTTTATCGTATATATATTTATAAGAGAAAAAAAATTAATACATGGTGTTTCGAAATTATGCAGAAATATAAAATTATCGCCTAAGGATGTTGGATCCTGTTATCAAAAGTATTGAGAATTTTTATTATACAGGTATATTTTTGGAATCTATACACATAGCTTAATTAAAAATCAAAACCAAACATGGAGTAAATGTGCTTCTTCCACGCCATGGAGCATTTAATATGACCTTTTGCACTGTAATTACGTATAACACATAAATCAATTGTTCAAAGTTTTTCCTCTAATATTTTTATCCAAATGAATCATGGGAACAAACACTTCTTTTTTCATCTTGAATAGTCTCATTAAATTTAGAGACAACAAAAAAGTATAATTACTTCATATAGTCAATTATTTGACCTTTCTGCACTGAAAAAAGTCATTTTTCTGGCATTAAAAATTTCACTTGTCAGGCAATAAAATCATTCGCAAATAATGACATTTTTCTGAATTTAATATGAATGGTTAATATTATTTTGTTTATTCAGAAAATAAAATTCAAAGTGGGGTCTGTGATATTAATTTGTAGTTATTGGCCTAAAATGGGGTATTTTTCCCCAAGACTTTTACAATATATTTGTTATATTTGTTCAATATGATGATAGAACGCATAACGGATAATTTAGTACATGTATATTATTTTGGACCAGCATGAAACATTTCTCTGCTCAAAACAACTTTGTGTGCAGGTTGCTGTAAAAATAGGAATCCGAACTTAACATTAGTGTAAATATTTTGAATGAGAAGAATTGCTCAATTTTTTCCATAAAACCTTCCGCCTCTAAATATCGTTCCTCACTTAATGTTCCAGTAAATGTTCAACCAAGCCTCTTTCGTTACTCCTCACTAATATGTTGACAGTAGTGAAGGAAAAACTTCAAGAGTACTGTGCAACTTTATATTCAAGAAGTGGTGTGAATCAGATGTGGAAACTAAAAAAATCTAAAGAACTTTTGGACAATTTGAGATCACAAGACTTTACGAAAATCAACAGCTTAAAAACTTACGACTTTTCAACTTTATATACAACCATTCCCCACAACAAATTAAGATCCAGGCTATTTGATATCATTGACAGCTGCTTCTTCAATAAAAATGGAACTCGTTAATTTACTTACCTCGTCATTGGTCCTTTGTAAAAAAATAATTTTTTAAAGTCAAAATTGCACACATAAGTACTCTGAACTTGACATCAAGAGGATGCTTGAGTTTCTGATTGACAATATCTATTTGGTTTTTGGAGACCAGGTATCCCAACAATCTATTGGAATACACATGGGTACAAATTGCGCTCCGTTATCAACAGACTTATTTTTATATTCATATGAAGCAGAATTTATGCAAAATCTTATGTCTGAAAAGAAGAAAACACTTGCTGTGGCCTTCAACTCGACATTTAGATATATCGACGACGTATTGTCAATTAATAATGGTAATTTCCATTCCTACGTCGGTTCGATATATCCTGGTGAGCTTGAGATAAAAGATACCACAGAGTCCGACACTTCTGTTTCATACTTGGATATTTTACTTGAAAAGACACTAATGGTCACTGTAGGAAAGCGGCTGACCGTAGTATATATTACGGTCATCAAAACATGTCGGCCGAGGTCACCGGTTAGAATTTTTCAGTCAAGATTTTAAACATTTGCCAGATTATGTGTGTTAATTCTTGCAGCATTTAAATGTACGCTAATGAGAACTTGCTATTGGTTATTATAACTTACTTGAATTTAAGGAAATAAAGCTGTAGTACGACCTCAAAGTTTTTGACAATGATGACCATAACAAACACACTCAACAAAGTAGATGACGACCGTAATATGATTATAGAGATGACCGTAGTATATGTACTAAATCATTTGAGACGTATAATATCTTATTTAATATCAGTACTAGATGTTCAATACAGATTACATTTTACAAGATCTATATACTAATTTGTATGGAGGTCATAAAAAAAGGACTGAAACTTTTTAAATATGATTGATTCAATACTTATTGATAAGAGAAGCCACGGTTGATTTAGAATGTTAAACAAAGTATTTATGTAAAAATCTTGAAAAAAATGTCACATTTCTCTTCGACCTTATTATTTTTTCTGTATTATACATTATTCATAAAAATATTTACTAACAATTGCGGCCATAAAAGTTTATTCTGCATTCTTCAAGAAAAATATTAATATTGCGACCATCACTAAGTCCTTCTCCTTTAAAGCCTCTGAAAAAAGACAAACCTCGCCCTTCAAACAGTTTTGCAACCGTTACCCAAAATGATAGTGACTCATCACTATATCTCATGTTATAAACCGTCCTTTGTTTATAAAACTAGGCTGCTTTTCACAAAACTATCGTAAGATTTGTCCTACGATCATCTAAGATCTGACTTACGACAATCATAAGATTTGTCACTGCTGTTTCACAAAACTCTATTAAGTATAAGAAATCTTAAGACAAGTCTGAAGACAAATTCCAATCTTCAATATTACAGGGATTTTTTTAATGTTTTCACGGAATTTTCTGTCAAAATAAATTGTGATTCCTATAGTTTCTTTTGCAGATATACCGTCGGAGAAAATATCTTATTGCACCAACTTAAATGTACTTTGTGTGTTTGTTGGGAAGGGGGGGGGTCATTGAAATTAAATTTGATTTAATTTCGTCAGAAAATTTTGATAAAAAATTTGCTCAGGAAATAGTAGTTTCTGACAAAATGCATGTGATTACTTTTAATTAAAACTACTAGTGTATCTGAAGCTTTGCAAATTATGAACGATTTTAACAATGACTCTTTCTGAAACACAAAATCTTGTTCAAAGTTCGTTCACAAAATTAATTTGATGCAGGTGTCTTTGAAACGCTTCAACTACTGCTACAAAATATCAATGCTAACAGATGAAGAAGAGAAACGAACGAAAAAAATCCAATTAAAATTTTACGGTCTAAATACTATTATAAAAAAGCATAAAGAGAACATTTACATACAGCATCAAATATTACAGCATACTGAATTGTCATACACACTCCGTTGGATTAATGAGGATACCTCACAAATTAAACTATTTGATTTTCATCTAATTTTGTACGACTGATTAAAATGTTAACTTGGAAATTAAATCACCACAATTAGAAACATATAAAAGACATTTATATATTGTCTGCCACAATGCAACAAAATAAATTAAAGTAAAATTCATTGGCTTATCAAATCCGGCATAAAAATGCACGTGGTTCTAAGAAGCATTTTTTTTTTTTTTTTTTTTTGGTTTTTTTTTTTTTTTGGTTTTTGTTTTGTTTTGTTTTGTTTGTTTTTTTTTCTTTTGGGGGGGGGGGTTACAACCAAAGAAAATTTTTTGAAATGAATAAAGTGGAAAAATATAAAGTAGGTACATTTTAGTTTTCTGTCGTATATTTTTGGCAAATTAATGGGGGTGTCATTGTTCTGACTGGATTGTTACATCTCTAAAAACCGTTTTTTTAAATATCTTTTGGTTTTTAGCCAAATACATACTGTCGCAAGTTTCACTTTAGACTTAAGACATGAATCTAATTGTCTTAAGATTATGATAAATCTTAAGATTATCATAAGATATGACAGCTTTGTGAAACGGGTATGTTGAAATCTTACGATAATTATCGGTCTTAAGATAGATCTTAGTCCCTGGCCGATATCAATCAACAAGTGGAGTGTAATGTTGCCATCAAATATGGCGTTTCTGATGTTTTTCATTAATGTACAAAAGTCGTCCAAACGACCAATTTCTTCAGGTAGAACACTGTTAATTTCACTGTGTTCTATGTTAGTCTCAGCATCTTGTCCAAACTCACATTGCTGCTGACGTTTACTTTCATGAACTTCAATTTTTTTACTCTCAACATTTACACGCACTGAAAATCCATTACTGTTTTTTTTTTCTTTAAGTTCAGATAAGTATATAGGAAAGTGAATAGATTTATATATAGTTTTTCCAGTGTCTGCGTTAAGTTCTAATTTACGTATGCTGATTTTTTTTTTTTTTTTGCTTCCAAATGGTGACATATGCTATGTATGGCACGCCAAATTCACAAAAATGAGCTAAACACAGTTTCACGGTTGATAAACTAGGTTTATCGACTGTAAACTATAGTTTACAAACCGTGAACTATATATGGCACGCCAAATTCACAAAAATGAGCTAAATCTAGTTTCACAATTGATAAACTAAGTTTATCGACTGTAAACTATAGTTTACAAATCGTAAACCATAGTTTACGATTGTTAAGTATAGTTTTCATCTGTAAAACTATATTTAACGGTTGTTAACAATAGTTTACGAATGCTAATCTTAGTTTATCTGTCTGTAATAAAATGTTAACAATAGATTTTGTTGATAAACATAGATTATAGTTAAGAGTTGTAAACCATAGTTTACAAATCGTGAAACTGTATTTATCAGATAATTGCATTTACCGCCATGTGCGGTAAATGCCAGTTATCGAAGAAGAATAGCCTAAGCGCGATAACTCCCCTGTCCTCAACCAAATTTCCAAAATAGCCCCAAGTCTTAAATGCGCTTGCGCACACATCCTCTCCGCTCGACGATTTTGATCAGACAGCATCAACAGAAAAATCACCTCCAAGTTGCAACCCATTACGTGGATTACTATATTGTACAGGTATCGTTCCACCGGTCATTGGTATGTATTAAACATCTAGTGAAGCATTGGAAGCGAATTGGGCGTTTCCCTTGCCTCAGCACTTAAGATGTCAGCAGATTTTGCTGGATCAATATTCATCATCACCATCCGTTAATGGCGGCATGCCAAACGTTAAACAAAAGGGCTCTAACTCTACATATAATTTGATCATTCATAATTAGTAAACGATGTTAATAATTTACAATCTCAGATTCAAACAAAAAATAAATAAATAAATAAAAGGAAAAAATTATAAATATATAAGCAATTAATAATAACAAATTATGTATATGTTAAACACAAGTTACACAGTTGTTTGTTTTATAGAAACATGCTCCGCGCAAAAAGGACTACAAAGTCTCCATATGCCAGGCCCGGCCGAGCTCAAGCTGCCACACAAAAGGCCAAAGCATCCAGGCCTACAAGCACCGTGACTCAACCGAACCAGGTCACCCCTGCTACAAGCACTGTGACTCAACCGAACCAGGTCACTCCTGATGCCATACCTCCAGCCTTATCAAACCAGCCTACAACTTCCTCAGGAATAGACATCCCTGACCCCTCAGAGTTTGAGGCATCGCCAACAATGCTTTCTCCAGGTACTTCAGGCAGCACTAATACATTATCTAATTCAAGTGCAACAACACCAAATTCATTATGTAGCGTTTCAGACGCATTGGGCGTGCATGTCCCAGATAACCTGAGACAAAACATATATGATAATGCATTCATTCACTTGCATAAATTACTTCCTCTCAAACCAAATGACGAGCCCCAGCAACAGCTCGCATTTGTCGCTGGCGAATTAGTGATAAAGGCTAAGCATAAGGAAATCAAAATAACTTCAATTGAAACATGGACAAATGCTTTCCTCATTTTCAGCAGCATTTACTTGACTAAGTTCCCTGAACACATTCAATCAATCCTTAAATACATTAACATCATACGCACTGCTGCACAGCGATCATCAAACTTAAACTGGCTCAATTATGACATACAGTTTAGACTAAAGCGCTCCAGGAACCATACTCTCGACTGGGGGTGTGTCGACGCAGAATTATGGCTCTTGTATGTGTCTCATGGCCACAACACTCTATCACAGCAAACCCCAAATTATACATCTAAATCGCCAAAATGCTTTGACTTCAATTACAAAGGCACATGCGGAAGACCATACTGCACTTATCAACATGCTTGCATTAAATGCTCCAATAATCACCCACTCATAAACTGCCGCTGGCACAACAGTCAGGCATTTCGCACAGAAAACTTTCGCCCATCCCAAGCCGAACATCCCCGCCAGCCCCCAAGCAGATTTCAGAGTAGAGGGTTCCCCCCAAACCAACCAAGGCCTCTGGGACTTGGCCCCAACCCCAGTCAACGTTAACATCCTAAAATCAATGCTAAAAGACTACCCCTTGCAACATATTGCTCATGAATTAATCAATGGTTTTCAATATGGTTTCAACATTTGTTATTCGGGTATACGGGAATATCAAAAATCTAAAAACATGAAATCTGCACAAACAAATTCACAGCAGCTCCAAGAAAAAATTGATCAAGAGGTTAAATTAGGTAGAGTAGCTGGGCCGTTCAAGAATATCCCCATGTCAAATATCAAGTGTAGCCCAATAGGCATTGTTCCCAAAAAGCAAGGGGGGTGGCGTATGATTTGTAACTTATCTGCACCAGAGGGAAATAGTGTTAATGACTTTATAGACCCAGATCTATGCACCGTTCATTATACATCATTTGACTCGACAGTAAGAATGATAAAAGAACTAGGCAAGGGAGCTTTGTTGGGGAAAAAAGACATTTCTAGTGCATTCAGACTCCTTCCTATTCGCCCCGAGGATTTTTCCTTGCTTGGTTTTTATTTTAACAACTATTATTTCGATAAGTGCCTCCCATTCGGTTGCTCTATAGCATGTGCTACATTTGAAAAATTTGCAACAGCCCTCCATTGGATTGTTCAAGATCGAGCCAATATTGACACATTAGTACACTACCTTGATGATTTCCTTTTTGCAGGCTCTGCAAACACCCTTGTGTGCAAAAACCTCATGCAAATATTTGACATAACTTGTGAAACGCTCGGCGTTCCTCTGTCAGAGGAAAAAACTGAAGGTCCTACAACATGTTTAACATTTCTAGGGTTAGGGATTAATACCATCACCCAAACTATATTTGTCCCTAAAGATAAAGTCGATGCCCTTAAAGCCCAACTTCAAAACGTTGCCTCGCGTCGCAAAATTACTCTTAAAGAAATGCAATCATTAGTTGGATCTTTGGCATTTATTTCTAAGGCAATACCTGCAGGGAGAGCCTTTTGTAGGCGATTTTATGACAGCCTATCACAGGGATACAAACAACACCATTATATCACTATCTCAAGGGCACTTCGCGAAGATGTAGATATATGGCTCGAGTTCCTGTCTGACTTTAATGGCACAACTGTATTCCCAGATATTCACTGGTCAGATAAAGACACTATTCACATATCCTCTGATAGCTCTGGTTCACTTGGGTGTGGGGTCATATTTGGTACACAATGGTCCTACCTACAATGGCCCTCAGAATGGTCACAACACGATTGTAGAGATCTGACTTATCTGGAGTTAGTCCCAGTCGCCCTTGCAATATACATATGGGGCCACAAACTACAAGGCAGAAAAATAATCTTGCATATTGATAACATGGCTGTTGTCGAGATAATCAACTAAAAAACATCAAAGTCACCAAGAGTTATGTCCCTCCTCAGGCCTTTTCTTTATAAAATATTAAAATACAATATCCAAGTCCGCTGCGAACATGTACCAGGTCATTCTAATTCTATAGCTGATGCCATATCTCGTTTTCAGTGGCAAAAGTTCAGGAAGCTGGCCCCCCATGCAGACTATTATCCCTGCCAAGTTCCTCTGGAATTCTGGAACCATTTGAGCAGGAAGTAGAACAACTACTCTCAGCATCAGTCTCTCATAACACTCAAGAAATATACCAGAAAGGTCTTGACTCATTTGCACAATTTAGAAAAAAATTTAACTTAACAGAAGTATGGCCCCCTCCCATAGACCAATTAATTAACTATATTGCTTACCTATCCTCAAAGGGGACAACATACTCTACAGCCAAAACCTACCTAGCTGGCTTAAGCTTCAACATAAAACTTGGTAATTTCCCAGACCCATGCCAATTTTTCATAGTCAAGAAAATGCTAAATGGCTTTAAACAACTAAAACATAGAAAAGATTCAAGAAGCCCGATAACATTTCCCCTATTAGTCAAGTTAATAGACTCGCTGCAACATGTGTGTCGCAATTATTATGAAAAATTACTGTTCTCCTCAGCATATGGGCTCGCATTCTTTGCTTTACTTCGAGTTGGTGAAATAACCACCACTAGGGCAAATACCCACAGTTCCCCATTATCAATAGAAAATATATCAATATCCCAATCATCCATTCAGATCGCGTTAACTATGATTTACAGATGTGAAATATAGATTAACGTTGTTAACTATAGTTTACAACCGATAAACCTTTATCGACTGTGAAACTATGTTTTGCTTTTGTGAATTTGGCGTGCCATAACTATAGTTAACAATTCGTTAACTATAGTTTTCATCTGTAATACTATATCTAACGGTTGTTAACTATAGTTTACGAATGGTAATCTAAGTTTATCTGTCTGTAATAAAGCATTAACAATAGATTTTGTTGATAAACCTAGATTCACGTTTGTTAACTATTATTTACAATCGTAAACTGTAGTTAAGAGTTAATAATCATAGTTTCACAAATCGTGAAACTATAATTATCAGATCGTTAACTATAGTTAAGAATTGTAAACAACTAAAGTATAGTTTACAAATCGTGAAACTGTATTTATCAGATAATCTATGATATGCAAATGATTGTTTTCGGTGTTAAGTATAGTTAACGATTGTGAAACATAGATAATCGCGTTAACTATGGTTTACAGACGTAAAATATAAATAACGCTGTTAACTATAGTTTACAGTCCGTAAACTATAGTATACAAGCGATAAACCTAGTTTATCGACTGTGAAACTATGTTTAGCTAATTTTTGTGAATTTGGCGTGCCATAGCTATGGTTCAAAATTACACTAACATCTTTGTCTTTTTAACACAAAAATAACATGATATGTCTGCTTCTACAACAGAAAAGAAAACACATTAAATTATATTTATGTATATTACCATCATTTTACTTCATTGGAAAAATCTATATTACGGTCATCTTAATATTTTGTTACGGTCATCATTGTTAAAAACTTTGAGGTCGTACAACAGCTTTATTTCCTTAAATTCATGTTAGTTATAATAACCAATAGCAAGTTCTCATTAGCATACCTTTAAATTTTGCAAGAATTATCATAGATAATCTAGCAAATGTTAGAAATCTTGACTGAAAATACATGTATCTTACCGGTGACCTCGGCCGACATGTTTTGATGACCGTAATATATACTACGGTCAGCCGCTTTCTACAGTGAATAGTAATCTAACAACCAAGCTATATGATAAACGTGATGACTTTAACTTTTTTATCGTCAACTTTCCTTACTTATGCAGCAATATATATACCTTCATCACCTGCATACGTAGTATATATATCTCAGTTGATTCGATACGCAAGAGCATGCTCTACGTATGAACAATTTCTAAAACGAGGTAAATTATTGAGAAGCAATTTGATGAAACAAGAATATCAACAGTCTCGTTTAAAGTCATCATTTCGTAAGTTCTTTGGTCGATACAATGAACTTGTCAGCAAATACAATTTTGATTGAGTCAAATACTGACTGATGTTTTTCATAATAATAATAATAATGATTGTTTTTATATAGTATGGAATCCGGATAGGGCCACGCAGTTCACTATCGCATCATCGCACCATCGAGGTTTGAGTCGATGGTGCGATGACGCGATAATGCGATGACGATGGAGCGATGAAGCGATAACGATGAAGCGATGGTGCGATAGCGCGATGACGATGACGCGATGGCGCGATACTGCGATGACGATGAAGCGATGGTGCGATGGAGCGATAAAGCGATGACGCGATGGCACGATAGCGATGCTGCGATGGTGCGATAGACACGATATAGCATCGCATCATCACTATCGCGCCATCGCATCATCGCTATCGCACCATCGCAGCATCGCTATCGTGCCATCGCGTCATCGCATTATCGCTTCATCGCGCCATCGCATCATCGTCATCGCGCTATCGCGCCATCGCATCATCGTCATCGCAATATCGCACCATCGCTTCATCGTTATCGCACCATCGCTTCATCGTCATCGCATTATCGCGTCATCGCACCATCGACTCATACCTCGATGGTGCGATGATGCGATAGTGAACTGCGTGGCCCTATCCGGATTCCATAATATAGCGCTTTTCTAGCATAAATGCTACTCAAAGCGCTTTACAATACATTATTACCCCAGCAGACCTTAACAATCCAGAATCTTTCTCAGTGCAAGCTCCCGTTATCAGCGCTAGAACACTAACATTGTGACAATATCTTTCACTGTCTACAGCCAGGTACCCCTTTTACACTTAGGTGGAGTGAGGAAATTCGTGTAAAGTGCCTTTCCCAAGGACTCAACGTCGGCTTGTCGCGGTCAGGATTCGAACTCACAACCTTTCGGTTTGGACTCCGGCACCTTAGCCACTGGACTACCGACGCCACATTTGTTACCAACTACCAGTTGTTAGTCCATTATTTATACACTGAATTGAATTGACGACGGATTTTTTCCGCTATTTCCTGATCATGACAAGGAACACACGGCGGATGTGACTGGTCGGCAGGGGATGCTCACTCCTCCATGGCACCTGATCCCACCTCTGATGTTTCGGGGGTCCATGTTTGCTCTGCTCTTATTTTGTATTGTTTTATGGACTTTGAGATTGAATACTGTTCGTTAATTATCTCCATATCCTTCTTAATGCTTTCGGTATGGATTTTAATCATGGGGTTTTAACTGAATATAGTTTAATTGTCATTGCAGAATCGAAATTTATTGTAAGAACTGAAACATTATGCATTATTATGTAATAATACATACAATATTTTTGTAATTATTTTTTTAGATTGAGGTCTAGACAAAAATCTGCTCAAAAGCTCAGGAACGAACCTCGATCGTAAATAAAAAATATTTTGCTATAGATTTAAATGACAAAAACATATTATATGAGATCAGGTATCATGAAGGAGAGTGGGCTCTTTGTCATGATCAGAATGTTGGGAAAAGTTTTAGTAAAAGTGGATCAAACTCCAAGCTCAACAAGGTCAAATTTGATGGTACTCTATGAAAGGTCTTGTCACAACTCAAAAGAAATGCACCTGTGAAATATGAAAGCCATAGCTCCATCCACTCAAAAGTTATAATGGGTAATGTTAAAGATTTTTGCAAACAAATAGATGAACAGACAAACAGACGGAGGGACAGGACAAAATCTATAGATATACCTCATAATCTTTAAAAAAATATAATCATTTAAAATGTATGTACTTTATACTTGTACATGATGCATTTATTTTCTTGCCAAACAGGATATATTTTGTCTGTGCGTAAGAGATGAATAGTTTATTGATTATATTGTTTTTCCCTATTTACTAGTGTTTATTTATGTGGGTTAATTTTCGGTGATTACCGCTGATTATAAAATGTGTATCATCAATATCCGTTGTGCTTGCATTCTACTGGTAACGTGAGGGATATCGTGGTACAAATCCATTACTCAAATCCGTGAAGAACTATATTTTAACTCAGTAATATGATTCTTTGGCTTTTCCAAGCAAGTCATAAAATTTAAGGTATATCAACTATAATTACATGTAAACAAGGATGTGGTTATAGCTAGAAAAGTATGACATGTCAAACGTAGCAATTTTCGAATTTTTTTTCATTTATATTGTATAATTTTGTTTTTGTATTCTATAATTTTCCAGTTATATTGTACAATTTTCCATTCGTACATGTATTATATATATTTTTTTATTTATATTATTTTTCATTTGTTTTATATAATTTTCATTTGTATTCTATAACTTTCTAGTTGTGTTCTTTACTTTTCAATTTGAATTACTATATTTTTTTTATTTGTATTCTATATTTTCTATTTGTATTGCAAAAAAATCATTTAAATTGTATGATTTTTCATCTGCATTCTATATTTTCCATTTGCTTTCATTGTGCAAACACATAAGTGCTTGCACAATCGGAAGGCTTCGGAAACCAGGCTATGGAGTTAGCCTGTTTCGTGTTGAAATGAGAGACTTCTTTCGAGTGCTTTAAACTGGGCCCCTTTACATGATCATGATCTATATGTTAGAGGAGAGCCATTTAGATGAAAAGAGAGCGCTGGCAGATTGCAAATGAATAATCTGTCCTTAGAAATGTTGTCTGAGTAAATAAATCATTTTGACTGGTGTACCTCGGCAAGTCCAACCTTCCTCTTAAGAAATGGAATTGTTGGGTTTGGGCAGATTTTCTTCTTGTCTGTGGTCGATTTGGACATAAATATATAATATATATATTCTCTCCTGCAAGAGCATGGAAATAAATAATCGAATTCGAAGATCCCTTTCCTAAAATTAAATAACCATCCACGCAAATACATTTATAGAAGCTCAGTTTAACATATTCCACTTGTTTGAACGCTATATACTACGAAATAGACTAAAAAATCTCGAGTAATAAATCCGTATCGAAAAAAAAAAAAACATTCCCTCGGATACAATACAAATGAAAAATTATCAAATACACAAGCCTTAACAATATAATTCTACAGCTGTATAGTACTTTTATGTCATTTTTTTTGAAAAACAGTACTGTATCAAAAAATGATGCATGTACGTGCAATGGTGTAGTGTTGATTTTCGAAAGAAAAAACGATTAGTAACTCTGTTCTTTATCAAAGTGAGTAGCGAAGTTCAGAGTTGATCTTTGCGTCGCGGGTTCGAATCTCACTGTGGGACCTGAAGATCGGTCCTTCGAATGAGACCGTAAAAACCGAGGTCCCGTGTCGCAGTTGGTGCTGACACGAAATTCCCTCCCTGCTCAATGGCCCTGAGTGCCGAGTATAGGACAAAATCTGCATCTCTCCACCGGCCCGGCAAGTGGTGGCGTCTCCATATAAGTGAAAAATTCTCGAGATGGACGTGAAACAATATACAATCAATCAATCATATTACATTTACCCAATTGTTGTATTTTCTTGTAAAAAATAGAAAATACACTTGGAAAATACTTTGATGCTTCAAATATGGACAAATCATATTCAGTAACGGTTTTGTATATAAAAAAAAAAGATTCAGAATTTGTTATCTTGGTGCTAAAAGTGTAATACTTGTATAAACTTTCAAAAAATATACCGAGCCGAGTGAATTTTGTGAGGAAAAGCAAAATGGTAAAAATCACATTTAAAGTCTTAATTCAAATTACAGTATACCATTTTGCTTTTCCTTACAAAATTCACTTGGTTTTGTTTACTTTTTAGAAGTTTAAATTACACTTTTAGCACCAAGATAACATATTACGAAATTTATTTTCATATGTAAAACCTTTACTGAATGTGATTCGTCTATACGTGTAATTTTACTGAAGTATTAACTAATATTTTCCAAGTGTCATTTTCTTGTGTGCAAGAAAATACAACAGAAAATTATGTAAATGTTGTATCAGTTCACTCTGTACTCCTTTAGAAATATTTTGAATAAAAAAGGGGGTACTAGTATATAGACCAAGATTACTATAGTTGTGTACTTTTTTGGGGAAATAATAAAGTTATTTCAATCTCCAAGTTTTAGGAGAAAATATTCGAAGAATTATCCATTTTTCAAAACCTGTGACATACTGTAAATGTATTACATTTAGCATGTATGATATTTGGCGAAAATTGATTTTTGATCAAGTTAGCTTAGATTTGATTTAGCGCATTTTTTTATTTTCTTATTTTTGTGCATGACAGTTAGCGTTGTACTTGAATTAGCAGAAGTGCAGTGTCTTTCCACCAATAGCGCTAAAAAGAATACGCAGCCAAATGTAATACGTTAACAGTATTCAGTCTCCTCCAAAAAGTTTGTTTGTATCATCTGCCATTAAGCTAATTATGTTCAAACAGAGGCCAAAACAGATAAAATTATTTGTGTACAATTCGTAGTTTATACCGATGACTAAACATTTTTAGAGACAAACATATCTATATTTTCAAGTAACTTGATTTTTTCTTGTCTCAATCTTGATTTCAGTGAAATGGATTCTTAAGGGGGTGCTAACGCCTTTTATATTTAATTTTACCACTGTTTACGCCCGCGTTGCTCAGTAGTTAGAGCATCTGATCTAGAGCCGCGAAGTATGGATTTGATCTTGCGGGTCCGTTCGAATACCACTGTGTGACGTGGAGACCGGTCCTTTGAATAAGACCAAAAATGTTTCACGCAAATGGAGATTCCACCACTTGCCGGGGGATAGCAACAAAGAACTTTATTCGGTAATAACCAATACTTTCCCCCCCAAATCAAACTTTGATGGAGATATATTTAATTAAGTTCTTAAACAGGGGAGTATATGCTGACTTCAAAGCACTGAATATTTTCATAAGTAATGACGCCATATGTAAGTAATGACGTCACAAATTGACGTAAATTTCAGTTTTTTATGAATTTTACAGAAAAATGTACATATTTCGTCGATATTTTGAGTAAAAGTCACCGAGCGCATGTGTGTTCAGGATCAATATTTTGATATAATGTGTAGAATGATGATATCAATGAAATATGTCAATATTGTTCCTGAACAAACTTGCGCTCTATAAGTTTTAAAACTAAAATTGTTGAAATTTTGTCCATTTTGTCCTCTTTCTGAAAAAGGATATAAAATCGGACTAGTTTGTGACGTCATAAAAACAGAAATTTGTGAATACACTACTTTGACACTATATTATTTTCTGTTAATTTATATTTCTCATACAATTTATTGAATTCAGCACATTTCAGGAAGTTTTCAAAATTTGACTTTTGTAGGGGCAAATATATGCAATATACCGCATATAGTTCTTTTGCTCTAAACTCGGCACTCGTGGCCATTGAGCAGTGAGGAATATTTTTCTTGCCATCACCTACAGCGACACGGGATCACGGTTTAAACGGTTTCATCCAAAAGTCAGGTCTCAACGTCGGTGTGAACGTCCCACGGTGGGATTCCAACCCACAACATAAGGATCAATTCCGCATTAAATAATCAATACTACTAGAAAAAGAACATACGTTTAATCAGAACTTGTTATATTTTATTTTCAGGGTAACTAATACAAAACTACAAAAGCTCTAGCTAAAAGATAAGCATTCTCATTCAGGAAACTAGAGGACTACCCGGATTTGATGCGATTTTCTGCCTCAAGTTTTATCATGCGTTTGTTTGGTTTACCAGTGGCAAGCATAGGAAAAGAGTCAAATTGTAAAATATATGTGGGCTTTTCACCTAGTCCATCAGCAGATTGTCTGACCTCGAAATTTTCGTCGCAGAACTTTTTGACATCAGACACTGTGACACCAGAACCCTTTTCAGGAACAAAACAGAGACACACCTCTTCATAGAGGCGTTTGTCTGGAACAGGTACCACAGCAACGTGGAGAAGGCCGCCCATTTGGATGACTGTATCCTCCACTGCATCCGGCATGATTTTTCTAGTACCCCGGGAGATAATATCTTTGATCCGCCCCTGAATGATAACTCTGTCATCTTCGGTAACGACGGCCGTGTCACCAGAGCGAAACCATCTGTTTCCCAAGAAAGATGTTTTGTTTACTTCTTCATTCTTGAAATATCCTCTAAAAACCATTCGGCTTCTTATGCACATCTCCCCAGGCATCCCTCGTGGAAGAACACTTCCATTTTCGTCAACGATTTTGAGCTCTACTCCTCCACAAGGCCCCCCAACGTCTCCAATTTCTAATGTGTCTCCTTCATTCAAAGGGGGTCCCATGGTAACGAATCCTGCTTCTGTAGATCCGTACACAACTACAAATTTTTTAGTATACACATTTACAACTTGCAGATAGTAATCGTCAATTATTTGACCACCAGACATGATGATGTCCATCTTAAAATCGTCTTCGTAATGATCTTTCATGCTAATTAAGTCGCCAAGAAAATATGGCATCAACAAGGCCTTTGAACATTTTTCTTCCTTAATCATGTTCCAAACTGCCATGACGTCAGACCCTCGGATGGCGACTGAAGAGTCGGTGAAAACCCTGGTCAAGCCGTTGCTGATTTGTGTTACAGGCGATCCACCTACCCAGCCGAAGGGTCGGTCATTGTAAGTTTTTTGTTTAATCGATTCTTCAGTTGGTTCTGCTTCAAATAATTCTATATTGGCGATGTCAAAATGAGAGTGCGAGACCATCTTTGGTTTTCCAGTACTTCCAGAAGTTGTGAAAATTAAGATTTCGTCCTCAGGGTAAAGTGTGGGAAGTTGAATATCAGAATCCTCCATCTTCAAAATTTCGGGCAGATCGCGATAACTTCTAATTCCGTCGACTTTCCTGAGAAATAGAATTGTCGAATCATTAGAATCAACATCCTTATAATCCCTTGATGGTCGGCGGCGGCGAAAGAGTGCTAAAAGTTGAAATATGGAATCAAGAAACGCTTCACCTTTTCCTGGATCAATCAGAAAGGCTTTGCAGTCAGCCTCCCGGAAGATATCCCATAAGTCTCTGGCGTCAGTGACGCTAATTGTCACGTGCACCGCAACTCCTCCCGCCAAAACAATTGCTAGCTCTCCAATAACCCATTCCAATGTATTCGGGCCAAACAAGGCTATCTTATCTCCTTTCCTGATGCCTTTCTTCACCAGAAACTTGGCTAGCTTTAAGGCTTCTTCGTTTAGATCTTTATACGTAAGAGCCTCTCGGGACCCGTCAATACCCCGGTGAATTAAGATTTCATGGTTGGGAAATCTCCTTGTGTTTCTCTCTATCAGTTCTGTTATAGTACAGTATCTGTAGGGTTTATCGCGTGGTCTTGAAAGGTAACTGAATTCCGACGACATTGTATTAGCTCTGCAAAAATCCAAATCTTTTATGAACACACATTGCATCAAATAAATATTTTACACTTCTTTTAAATTTTCACTTTAAACATTGCAACCTAGATGCTAAAGTGTTACTTATTTTATCGATTTTTTAAAATTGTTATTTCACATGTCTTTTCCAGTTTTGCCATAATAAAATGAACATACGTTGTAAATGGAACAAATTTATATAGCATTAATTCAAAAAAACCATGCATTTTACATTTCATGATGTTCATAGGTTATAAACTTATTCTTTCAATTTTCGTCGAAACAATAAATAATCATTTGAATGTCAGTGCTTATCAAACTAAAAAAAAATTAAAAATTATATCAATGCCTTTCTTGTGCTTATCTTTGAAAAGAAAACATTCCCTTTTCTCGTGAAATACTATCCATTCTAACTTCTACATATGTTTACCGGTTTCGCTTACCTTGTCCGATCGTTGAACTGGACTATAACAAGTAACTGACCAGGGGTCGACTGACGTTTTATTTACGATATCTGACAATTGGTTCCAGGTCAGTTAATACAATTCTGTATGTCCGTGAATTAATCAACTGGACAGGCGGGCTTCTGGTGACAATTTACAAACAATGACATCGGACATGATTTGGTTTTGTGGCTGCATTTTTGCGTATTCGTATGCAATTTTCTCCCAAAATTTAAACAATGTGCTCTTCAATGTCTACATTAGCGAAAGATTCATATTGTTGAATTTTGTTTAAATTTTCTGTCTGTGTACTTTTAAAGATCTATTTGTCATAACTGGGTCTGTTTAGATATTTGAAGTCTTGTTCGTTATTAACCTCTGGCATGCAACTTATTCTGGTCACTTTTCTAACCCTAACCCTGACAAATGATGCTGCATATGATTGCAGCGTCTTGTACAGAAGCATGCAAATAAATAAATTATCATGAAGGGTGTAAGTAAACAAAATTAAATATTATAAATACTCATAAGCGCTCTCTTTAATGAAATTTTTCTGTTTGACAAAATTTAGTCCAAAATATCTGACGTAATCAGACTTTTTTTCCGATTTTTATATTTTACGTGCTTGGAAAAATATCTAAAAAAAGCCTGGAAAACTTAAGATTTTTCGGACTAGACAAAAATCAAATGTCAATTGAACTGTTGAACTTTGCTTCAACTTTTTATTTCAGTTTACGATATCTCCAAATGCTTTGTCTAATCATTTTCAGTTAATGTACTTAATTTTATTGCCTTAATAAATGGAATGAATTTTTAAAATACTAAATCAGATGAACTTTGAAATGTTTAATCGTTAAATAAATTTAGTAATTTTTTATATGATTCAATTATTTATTTTGCCATTTTTATGGGAATATGAACGATTAATAATAACTGTTGCTATTTTGGTTGCAGGTTTTACACTAATTTTTTATTTTTATACATGTATTATAATTGTAAATATTAAAGGGAAGAGTAATTTTTTTTTATTCAGGGGCGTTGTTTTTCTGTTTTAAGTACAATAGAGGAGCATTCTGAAGTTTGTCATAGTTATAGACACTCTATTTTGAACCACTTGCTGTTAGACGAATGTCCAAACAAAACCTTTTATAAAATATTCATGTTATTACCTAATAAGCAATAAATATCGAGATAAAAAACAAATTTGAATACATGCAAAATAAACAAGTGTAGATTAAATATTTATAAATCATAGCAATGGCAAAAAGGGAATGGAATTTATCTCTTGAAACAAACATTAAAATTGTTTCCTTCAAAAATTGTGTAAACTGTGTTAATGCAATTTTTTACTTTTGGTGTGTTTAAAATTATACACAATTGTGTTGTAAATAAAGACTTATTTAGGTGTAATATTATTGAATGTAAAAAATACATGCATATCATTTCTTTTTTTCTTGTGTGAACTACACTGCCCCAAGAAACGACTTGTTCAATGCTATTTTTAGAATTATAAATTTACGTATTGTAGACACTCATGTTCATTAAGAAATCAACTGAAAATGAAAGTTTATTTTTAAATGTGCAATTGTTTATTAAGAGATCAGTGTTTTTAGATTTGTATGTCCATTCTACATTAATTCAATTCTGTACATGCATTGCCTATGTTAATAATCTTATTGACCTTTGGTTCCTGTGTAAATTAATTTTGAACAATACTTTGTGTTACAAATTGTATATATTTATATTTCAAATGTCTTTGTTATAACATCAAAAACAATAAAATTACAAATAATTAATTTTCCCTAGCTTTATTTACATATATAATAAGCAATAAACATGGTTCATTTCTCCAAGCCTAGACAAAGAGCGGTTTCAACAAAAATCATGTGCAGGGTGGCCAAGACAATTTGATATCTAGACTGAAAACCTACAATTCTTCTCTCTAGTCATGTTCCATTCCTGGTCAGATCATACTGAATTAACATTCAAGCAGAAGAAAATTTCTTAGATTTTTCAATTTCATGACGATGATCATTTGCGTAATAATTTGATGCATAAATGCCAAATTATCATGCAAGCCACTCATTTGATCTTATCATGAAATAAAAAAAAATTAGACAATTATTCCTTAAATACATGTACCAGTCTGAACAGCAAAGCAACAACTTTACAACCGGTTGTTATGCATTATACCTTAAAGCATTTAGCAATATGAGCTGCATTTTTGAAAATTTTATTTCTGTTAAAATGTGTTATTATGAAAAATTTGTATATACATTTAACCTATATATACAATTAGATGAAAATAAATCAACAACTTTAGATGAACTGATTGTCATACATTATACCTTAAAGCAATATGGCTGCATTTTTGAAAATATTATTTTGCTGTTAAAATGTGGTATTGTGATAAAATTTGTATGTAACTTAAATCTTTCTGATCAATGAGACTAAAATAAAGCAGAAGAAAAACTTCTATATACAAACTAATAACCAGATTTATATAAGAAATGATTATTGTACAGGACGACAATAATGTGACACAGCATAATTTCTTAAACAAAACTATCAATTTAAAATGGGGCAAAATTAAGTGCAGAAGGGCGAAAATACATAACCCTGTACATAGTTCTTCCATCGCAAATATGAACAACAGAAGTTTATAAACATTACTTTTTTTAGGTCATTGAAAAGTTATTTACAATTTTGCAACAAAAAATTCTGACATCAAAGTTGCAGCTCATATTGCTTTAAAATATAAACTGGTCAAAATACTACAACTGCATTGTTATGTCAAGGATTTTATTTTTTCCTTTCTCCACTGAAAAATGTGTGTTATTGTAATTCAATGGTGCTTTACAAACCTGCTGACCATGATCAAGATAAATCTCAAATTTAAATCAACTTTAAACTTGTATTGCACATGTACATATATCAAGCACACATTTGACAGCATTTTGACACTTAAATTTTATGCCACGCACTTGAAAATCTCTGTGAATGCTTAACTATTAATCGTTCTCTAGTAATGAAGCTGGTATAATTTTTTTCACTTTATCCTGCGTTGTGATAACTTTTTCCTGTTTTCCTTCACCATTCTCTGTCTTTTTCTGTAATTTTTCCTGTCTTCCTGGTTTGGTTTTCCCTTTTATGTCTTTTTCCCACTGTTTTCTATACATAGTGTAAAGTCTCATTGTTGCTTGAGCATCTTGTACCTAAAATAATACCAGGACAAAATAAAATAGAAATCATGTATGCACATTTTTGTCATCTAATGTCCACATAATCAACAAACAATAAAATTGTATATTCTGCTAAAACGACTCACATATATATATGGTGCTTTTAAAAAACGAAAAATGTATTTGCAATATTTGGCAAGTGAAATGTGTTTTCTAAGCCTACCCATGTGAGATTATAATCCCCTCACATCAGAGTTTGTGTTTGTGTGTGTTTTATCTTGCTCTTATGTAAAACAGAATAGAGGTTATTTGCATTGGGATCTATGTCAAATGATAGATAAGCTCTTTTTATTTCAAAACTTTTCTCTTGTGCAAAACATACACTGAGGTAATTTGCATTGGGATTTCATAATGTTGAATGCTGTCTTTGATGACAGAAAAGTTCATTTTATATTTAAACTTGTCAATGAAAAGAAGGAGTCTTTTTGCTGTGGGCCTTTTATTTAAATTTGTATACTCTGTAATCTAATGTGCATGAAAAATTTTATCAATTTATTGACATAGGCCTCGTTTATTTTTTTAACTTATAATACATATTTTTAAAATCTAAATTTACAATTTTAACTTGAAATAAAAATTACCAGATACTTAAACAGCTGTTTCATATTTGTGCATTTTACTAGAGAAAAATGTTAATGGTAAATTACATGTAACGATAAAATTTTATGATAAAAATGATGATTTTAATCTATGGTATTAAAAATGATTATCATATATTTTTCAATGTCCCCTGAATGCCACCTTTCAAAAAGAAATTGTAACAAATATGAAAGGCAAAAACAGAAACATGCAGTAACAGTGAGGCTACTAAAAAGAATGATTCACATAAAGTTCATACTCACAGAGCTGTGTTCCCCCTCCTGTACACTGACCCCTAAGACCCGGGCTGACAGATTCTTCAGGGAGGGCGTTCTCCCGTTATACAACTGACGGAAGTATTTATAGCGAGACGTGTCCCGAGTTTGTTTCTTGGGATGACTTATGTAGAGTACCTGCAATCCAGCAAAATAAGTGTTATCATTTTCACAGAATTTTTAATGCAGTAAATAAAATAATTTTGTTAATGCAATTTTTTTTAATGATGCAATGTATGCTTTCAATTCTCTCTTTTCTCAATTTACAAATCATTTTGATTTGAATCAATAACCTGTAAATCATGGTGAATGGCATGTCCAACCAGTAGTCTCCCCTTAATCATGCTGCTGATGTCCTTTTGGACAACAGGAAATTCTTTGCCTGAAGAACAAAGAATAATTTTATTATCATGGTAGGCATGCACTTCATATCAAAATATACATATACAAGTTTATACGTATACTCTACGGTCTACTTCAGCAAGAGAATAATCTAATAAATAGAAGAATTAGATGTATGTGAATTATTAATATTTTTACTGATATAAATCACTTAATACATTTTTTTTTTTTACCCAAATAAATAAACATTTTAATTTTCTTTCTGTAACATTTTTTGTTAATCAAATGTTAATGCTTTATGTGAATGAACATATATGTAATTTAACATTTAATAATGATTATTTATGCTATTATTTCATTTCCCCCTCACCTTTCTCTAGGTCCTGTTTCCGGATGCCGCTGACCTTCGTCCGGTAGTCCACCACGTCTTCCATGGGTTTGACGAATTCGTCGTACACACAGTGACCGTGCTGATTCACGATGGACACTCGGGCCAGCATGCTCTCTCTTCCGTCCCGCCCCACCCCCACCATTTCACAGTCCATAGCCAAAATCTTTGTCAAACTTTAATATAATAAAAATTATTTTGAATTTAAGAAAGATATCTAATAGCACATTTATACTTGCTGCTCATACTGTTACCTGGGCAGTATTATACATAATTATACTAATTTAAGCAACAATCAACAAAACTGGCATACTCAGTTATTGAAATGGTCTTACATATTATTTAAGTTCTTGTTAAAACACATATTAACACTGTTTCTGAATAAGTGAAACAAAATGAAAGCTTCTGTATAAAGCACCATTTAAAAAGATAGCAATCATTTTTAGCTAGAGTAATTAAATGACTTAGCAACATACCCTCCATACGAACCCGTCTTGACTAGGGGATTATAGGTAGGCGTACACTTTTCTGGTACTGCAGTTTTGCGATCCAGTAAAATCTCATCCACATCATCAAACCAAATCTCTGGTTCCCTATAAAAGAAAAAAACAAGTTACAGTTTACATTATATCAATGCAGAATGGGATTTCAAAGATGTTGGAGGATTCTCACAAGTGATCGACACTGTGTAGTATTCAATCAGGTCTGGATCTATTAACTTGTAAACCACATGACATAAAGAGATCAACAACTCATTGTGAGTACACTTATTTCATTGACTACTGTAAATCACTTTTTATCCAGGAGAACTTAATTTTTGCGTAACTACGCGAGACAATGCGTTCGCGAAAATTTAATTCTCGCGTATAAAAGTATTCCTTATGATTATATAGAGGAATAACAACTATTCGTGAAAATTTTGTCTCGCTTACAAAGAGTCAATGACAATCTCACGAAAATAAGGTGTCGCGAAAATTTAGTGATCTACAGTATTTTGACCAGAGGTGTTTTTCATTACCAATTCCTGATGAATGGTCAAACCTGGTAACCAAATTAAATCTACTTCAAATTTCATTTTTAAGAAGTACTGGTCATCTGTTTATGTCTGAATTTATTATTATTTTTTAAAATTGTGTATACTTACTTCTCTTCATCTTCAGTTTCTCTCTTCTTGGTATTTACATGTTTATTTTTCTTTTGGTTTTTATTGAGTCCTAGATCCTGAAAATAATTAATAAAGAGGCCAGTAAATATACATGTATATGTTAAAAAAAACTAAGGAAATAAAATCACAATTATAAATTCATCTGCACAAAAATAAAAATATTTTTAATTATTAAATGTATTTCTTGTTTGAAAAGAGGAACATTCATATTTCCTCCAAATGGAGTTTTATGAAGAGACTTACTTTTACATTTGACAGCTGACTTCTACATTATAGTAACTGAAGTTGGTCTCTGTTTAAAAAGCAGAAGTTGGTCGTCGTTTGTAGAAGTAGGTCTCTTCATAAAACTCAAATTCAAGTGAATTTGTGATGTTTATCAAGCATTAACATATCTAGGGTCACTTTGAATCTCTCTATTTAACTTTTATTTATCACTGCAATTTAAAATCATATTCAGTACCTGTTGAAGTTTTTTCCAGTTTGATGAAATTTCTACACTGTTCACAGGAACATCCACTGGGGCATCACCAGTTTCTTGTTTATTCTGCTTTTCTGTATGGCCTTTCACCTTGGCATTTTTAACCTTAGTTTTCTTTGCTTTAAACCTTTGCCATTTATTTAATTTTTTGCCTGTTTTCTTTCCTGTGTAACTGTTTTCTTTGCTTCCAGAATTCTCACTATTTGTTGGTTTGCTAGCATTGTCCTTTAATTTGTCAACTTTGTCTAGATTGACAATCCTTTCCTTATCTGCTTTCTGTTTTAATGGTGACCTTGCTTTGGAATGTCCTTTGTCATTTTGTTTTGCCTGTACAGTGTTTATGCTTGGATTACCAGACTTACTTTTTCCTTGTGTAACTTTTTCTTTGCACAACTTCTCATTTTTATTTGATTCATTGTCACCTGGCTTTATTTTCTTTCTTTTCTTATCCCTGTTTTTTCTCTGCCCCTTGTCTTTTACATCTCTGCTTTGTTGACAACTTGAAATGGTCTTTATTTTCTTTGAAACACTGACATTTACATCTCCTTCTTGGACAGTTCTTTTCCTCTTCATATTCTAAAATCAGAAGTAGTTTCAGAAAATGTGAAATATGGTTTTACTTTACTTTTATATTCACTTTTACTAAACGGTCAAAAAATGATGTTGAAATTCAATTGGGTCCCCGGGAGGGCTCGCTTATTTTTATGCATATACTACAAAAAATAACCAATATGAAAAATAATTTTTCATCGAAAAAGATTTTCCATCAGATTAATTGGGCAAACTGGTAACTATTGGCTTGAACCATCTGGAAAAGAAAACAACCCATACATGTACTGCAAACTGTTATAGACCTTCAAACACATGTTATACCCTAATACCATCTTTATTTATTCCCCCCTTCCCCGTCACACCTAACAGGCTGGGGCGAATATGTAGATTAGCCAAATGCAGTATAATCGTTTTGCTTTGAACATATGTGTTGAACTTTTTGATTTTTTGTGTATACATGATCCTTTTAAGGTCAAGATCTAGTAAATGAAAGGTGCCTACAGATCTATCAAATTTGAGAAATAAATTCCTATATTGATGCTTTACAACTTTAGCTTGGTCAAATTAGGTGTTTCGGGGCATAATATGTAGGTAAACAAGATTAAAAACTGTATTTTAAACTGTCATTTTCAATGAAAAATTAAGAAAACCAGTAATGAATATGGGAGATTTTTCATAATCGGACAGATGAAATCTATCCAGATTGCCTACAGTCTCTCAGAAAACAGTAATTAGTATGTTCGTGGCCTCTTCTTTAAATCAATATTAAATCTAATATAGGTATCCGTTTTACTTTTCCTATGATTTCAAATTGAATGTCATGAAAATACCCTTTTTTCTATATAATTCTGCTAAAGCCGTAAAGTACGGGAAAAAGAAAGTTGAAACTGATTATGACGTCATAATGGAACTAGCACCAAAAAATTAGTCTAAAGTTATTTACTAGATCTTGACCTTAACAAAGGAATGGCTTCGTTATTGTTGTTCTTGTATAGTTGTGCATTTTCTTATCTAAGACTTATAGTCTACTGGGCTTATGTTAGAAGAAATATGCAGAATCTGCACTAAAATTCATATTTTTACCTAGAATTTCTCAAGAAACACGTTTTCTTCCTATCTCTCTTTTCACCGGAAAATAACAAAGGTATACTAAATGGAAAACCAAAATTCAATAACGGATTTTCTTGATTAAAAAATGAATGTAATTCTTTTGCTCGGACCTGTTGAAATAAACTTTCTTAAAATAAATGAAGTAATTTTCAGTTGATGTTCTTTTTATTTTCATTTTTAATTTGGTAAAACTTAAATATTTTTCCGGAAATCAAAATATACACTTCTCCACTTTTCATTTACCGTAGTGATATGGTGTTCCTGTGTTGAGTGGAAAAAGAGGTAAGGGCACGTGTATACACTTTTATTTTATAATATGCCTTTAGTTCACTCACATTTGGGTTATTTTTGTTCAGATTTATAATTTTTTGTTGTTTATGTTTTGTTTTACATGTTTAGCATTTAATGTTTCTCATTTCTTAGCTTAACAAAGATATTTTGGTGACCCCAGACCCCCAGATTCGATTCATCATTCAGAGATAAAAACTGTACATGCAACTTTCAAATCAAGCAGTGTTATCAGGTGAATGTTGTTGGATCTGTAAATTAAAAAAAATCATATTTGTATGTGTGCATAAATCTCAAGGTCTCTACTGATTGCGAAATTAAGAGCAGGATGCAAATGGAATACCCAACTCTTCAGCACGTCAGTTTACCCAATTTGGCCAAATGGACAAGAAAGAGAAAAGAAACTCCAAAAATAACTTATTTTGCACCTCATAAGTTATTAATCTGTCCAGTTTTGTTTTTTTTTTTCTAGAGAATGAGGATGTTATTACCAGTGATATTCTGAGAATTGCTGGAAAGATATCAAGAAAAATAGAGAGAAAACAAAGAAAATACAACAGCAAAACAACAAATGACATAGGTGAGCAATATGCAAATTAATTTTTAAAAATTCCATATAATGAAGTGGCTCAATTGATCCTTGTCGTACAGGCCAGGCCGGGTCCTATGAATTGAAGGTAAGTTGGGGATATCAAATTCGTTATTAAAACAGTACTTGTATCATATTAAAGAAAATTTGGAGTTTGCAGAAATATTTACTGAAAAAAAAATCTTGACAGTTTAATAATGAGTATTGAAATAACCAATCTAATTCCAAGTTGGAATTTTTACTTGAATTATGGGAGAAATTCAGGCTTCATCATGTTCATTGCATTGGGAACAGGGTCATTAAATTGGCTTTGATTCTTATTTCAAAGTTTAATCATTACTGTATACATGGAAATTTTCGCTACGTTTCATTTTCGCCCCTTTTGCCCCCTTCATGTTTTGGCCAATTTAGAACAGTGCAAATTCAAAGAAAACAGTATAATTTCTTAAACAGAACCACCGAAGCTAGAGCAAATTTAAAACTGGGCAAAATTGGTCACAGGTGCAGAAGCCTAAGAAGGGCAAAAATAACCCTGTATACAGTATGTGGCGGTCAGATGAGTCAGATTGCCGATGGCCAGATATCTCAATTAGAAGAGCAACTGACTGGAGGTTCGGGGGGGCTGGGTTTGAATCCCAGTCTGGTCTCCTCACTCATTTCGATTAAAAGACAAGATTTTGCTTGCAGATTTTTTGTGAATAAGCTGAACAGCATTGACCATTTATAGGTCTACATATTTATATATAAACCCAGTTGAGGTGTTGATGATATGTTTTTACCATTAGAATATTGTTTACATTAAATTTGCTCATTTTATATTCATGGTAGATGATGTAAAAACACAAAATTCAGCAAAAACAGCTTGTCTTGAGTCTCCTGATTCTGGAATGTCATCTAGCAAGAAAAGAAAATCAAAGCAGGACAAGAAATCTGTAGAAATGCCACCCTCAAGGAAAGAGGACAATATCTCTCTTTCACAGATAGAAGAGCTGGAAGAGGTTACTTCTCCAAAAAAGAGGAAAAAGCATAAACATCCAGAGAGTGAATCTGTGACAGATATAAATGGAGCATATAGTTCTGACACCAGTCATGTGTTCTCTCCAAAGAAGAGAAAAAAGACAGAAAGTGACAGTAGGGACAGTTCTGTGTCCAGTAAGAAGAAAAGGAAAAAAGATGATATGTGTAACTCTAGAGATAATAGAGATGATGTCAACAAAGATTCTAGATTAGTGAGTTCTGGTGATCATGATTCTGAGGAAAGTGAAGGAGAGCCCACACAACAGATGCAGGCAGCAGCACAGCTCCACAAATTTAGGTAAACACTATGCATTTGTTGAAGTTAAACAAAACTTTTCAAATTCCAGTTGTGGTGTATCTTAGCTGCAGAACTGTAGCTCTCTGAAAAAAAATTGACAGACTGGAGAGCTACAGTGCCACCCATTGAAAAAACTGTATATTTATTGATAACAAAAAATTTGCGCTTGGTTCTGGATTAATTCTTCCAAATTCTTGCCTTCATTGCAAAAAAGCTAACTTTACAAAAATTCCTTACTTTTCTATCAAATACTCTCATAGTTGACATCTGCACGAAGCGCGTTAGACCGAATTATCTTGCAAACAAACGTGGCAGTGTAAATGGACGAAATTTTCGGTTATCTCAGTTTGAGGGCCTAGAGGGTTATTAAAAACAATTACAGGGAATGATTTGTTGTGGAATCAGTGAAAGAATATGTAAGGATCATACGGTTAATATCATTTTGATGTGACAGTTTGAAAAACATGGAGAAATGAACCGAGAAACAGCGCACGTTTTTGTGCGCAATAAATATACAGTTTTTTCAATGGGTGGCTTTGTAGCTCAACGGTCTATCAATTTTTTTCGGAGAGCTACAGCTCTGCAGCTAGCTAGCCAAGGATGACCATCTGCTCCACTCCTCTTTTCACTCTTATGGAAAGACAAGCACTGAACATTTCACTGGCAAGATTTTACTTGTTAAACTGCTTGCTACTTGAGAATTAACTTATGCCCACAGGCGATAATAGCTGATGCAGCTGTACATTGTAACATGTATATACATGTATTAGAACATATTTATTTTACACTGGAATTATTTCTTAGGTTTCAGAGGAAGGGCTTTCAACAGGTGGATGTGTCTACCACAGGTGATCCAGTTCTGTCAGAGAATCTAACAAAGAATAAAGAATTCTGGTTAATCAAGGCTCCCTGTGATGTAAGAAAGTAAATTTTACTTATTTCTGATTTGTGTTTTTACTTTAAAATCAAAGTTTTAACGGCCTTTTCTGTATGATTCTGTTGGTAAAGATTGTGTATTCTTTTTTTTTTTTCTACTTCCTAGACGCCAACTTTGAAGCCTCATATCTCACTCATTTCTCAATTGATTTCTCTCAAATTTTCAGAGGTACTAGAAGTTACTGAACTCAATCAGAATGCTGTCGAAAATTTCAAAAAGCCACTTCCGGTTTTGAGTTATTTCCCTTTAAACGAAAATTTATAGGCTTTCGTTTCCAGACAAAGGCTCAGAGACGGTTTAAGTTGGAGCAGAAATTCTACTGATTTTAGATAATAAAAGGATTGAAGTTGTGCACATCGGTTTTTGTTTTTCGATTTCTCTAATCAAAATGGCGCTATATAGGGGTAAAAAATTAGAACGCTTCAAAGAGCCAAAAATTACTCATATTTTGCTTTTTATTTTCTAAACTAAAAATATTTTGTTAAAATATATAGAACATAATTTGTGCACAATTAAAAGATCTTTCAAATGATATCTCGGAAAAAGGGCTGGCCCCTAAATTTAAGGACCAAGAGGGGCCAAAAGTTTTTCCTTTATATCTCAATAGGTATTGAGAATTTGTAATATGTCAAAAAAGCAAAGTTGTTCAAAATGTCAAGCTCAATCTATTGAAGTCGTCAAAGTACGTCCGGCGACGCCACTTCCGGTCAAACCGGAAGTAGTCGGAAAACACATATTTTGCCATTCTTGACAAGTTTTTGAGTAACATCTGTCACTGGGAGCATAAAAATTAATTTTCCATCCGTCGTCGTCACTTCCGGTCAAACCGGAAGAGCAAAAAATGGCTGATTTTTGGATTCAATAACATAGATTTAGAGGATTTAAACAATTATAGGACGCTTTTACTCATTTTTGTGAAAATGAAAGTTACTTCCGGTCAAACAGGACGGAAGACCTTCTCGTTGCTTTGCAACGAGCTTTGCTCTAGTTTCTGATTTGTGTTTTTACTTTAAAATCAAAGTTTTATTTCGTTTTCAGTGTATGTTTTTATTTCCTTTTAAGTAATTTTCTAAATGTGTGTATGCATTTTTTCTACAGCTTTTATTCAAGTGTAAGGCATACATTTTATTATTATATTTTTTTGTATTACAGTTTGACATAGCATCTTTAAACAAGAATAAAGTTTCCTTATCTGATGGAGTTATGGAACTTGACTTACCTGATCAGAAATGTGATGTTGTTGTTTCCCATCAGCCTTCTGAGTTATGTCCCTTGATCAGGAGCCAGTCCACAGGATGTTTGCAGCAAGGTCAGTTCACATAAACAAAGATGTACCAATGTATACCAGTCTTTGATAAAAATAAAATCAAGTGCAAGTAAGATCAGTAGAATCTGTATACCTGCAGTAACGTGTGATATGACAGACATAAAGAGATGCTCAGAGGAGGGTATAATGAAACATGCAGTGTTTAAATATTCAAGATACTGCATCTAGCTTTAATTGTTACATTTCAAATGAAACAAAACTTTTACACACTGAACTTATTAACCTTGTAAAGACCCAGTTAAATTCAGTAGCTCTAGGTGTACAGTCATCAACAATATGATGTATTACAGTATAAAATCCACTACCGGTATAGGGTACTAAATTGATATGCATATTTTTGCCACAGAGATGTTTAACATTGTGAGCACTTGAAAATTAGCATTTCTAAAATTCTTAACTCTATCACAAACTAGACAGTAATGTTTGTTTACTGTTGAAAGGGCTTCTGGTATATTTCATATGTGTAAATAAAATTTAGACCATCCAATGTTTTTCGTGTTAAAAATATTAGAATACACACTGTACTTATTTCAAAATGCTTGCCTGATATTTTGCTAGTTAACCATGATGATGTGCTTGTATTATTGGTTTTATTTACAGGGGGGAGTTTTGGGGGTCAGCTTCAGATTATTGGCAGTATAGATGTCCCTCCTGTGCCCCCAATACAGACACCTCCTAGAAAAGAACATACCATTCCAGAATGCCTCAAACAGAGATATGTGCCTTTTGGAGCAGGTATGTTCAGGATATTATGGAATATAAAAAATTGAACATAAATGGAATTTTTGAAATCTTGTTTGTGTAAAAATTTCCATTGTGTCATAAATTTGTTATTATTTTATCAACAAAAGTTGATTTTTATATCTTATCTATCTCTGCCATTTCAGATATCCCTGTCAAAACTTTCCCATCAAAGAAGAAAAAGAAACATAAGAAAGGTACAGTAAAACTCGCTTAGTATGAACACAGATATAGAGAAGTTATCTTGACTCCCCAGCTATATGGATTAAATGAATTCCTTATTAGGATATGATGAATTATGGATATAGCGAAGTAATTTCATAGGTCCCAGTGACTTCGTTATAACTGAGTTTTACTGTAGATAAAATATGCCCATTTTGTTATTTTTCTTTTCATTTTTAATATAATTTGTAAACGACAATTAATTACCCCTCACTTGAAAAATGGGAGGGTATATAGTTATCAGTATGTCATTGTGTCCATCTGTCTGTATGTCCATCCATCCGTCTGTCTGTTACGCTTTTTATTCTCCTTTGAGAAGTGGACAGGCTTTTGACTACATTAAGGCTTCTCTAAAGAGAATATAACACTTTTGGGTACCCATCTCTTATCCGCACCTCCACCTATACCACTAAATAAAATCTAATGAAACTTTCACAGTGCTATTGTGCACCTATTTTTTTTTAAATCGGACACATACATCAGATTTCCCATAGCAATTTTGAAGCATGGACACTGCCATTCCCTCTGTTATTGTATATTGAAGGGTACCCATCTCTTATCTGCAGCTACTCCTATACTACTGATCAAAATTTAATACTTTCACAGATTCTTTATTTACATAATCATGATAATGCCACTTTGCATCTCCCATTCTTTTTAACGTGACACTTATTTTGGTCTCCTAGAGCAAAACATGGACTTTGCCATTATAATCATAGAGAAGGTGGGGTATCACTTTAATAGTGAGCTCAGTGCTGACAGTACCTCTAGTTTAAAAAATACTAATAAGAATGCAGGGAAACAGTTTATTTGGTACATTTCAAAATATGTTTCTATATATATTTTTTTAATATAATTGCAGATCGTAAAGAAGAAACTCCTGAAGAAGATCACAAGAAACAAAAGAAAAAGAAGAGAAAGAAGAGCTGAAATTCGTTTATGTTACTGTATATACAAGATATAATAAAAAATGTTATATTGTTATGGTGTTTTGTTAAGCCCAGTTTTTATCTCATTTCAACAGATCTCTTCAAAGACAAATATACTTTTAAGATTAACAGTTCAATTATTGTATTAAAGATATTTAGGAGGAATGCTACACTGGAATATTACTTATCAGAACTTTAATTTGAAAAATTCAATCAATATGATAAATATCAAGCCTTTGATCTGGTCACATAGTTTGCTACTCTAGAGGTGTCTCCTCCTCTTAGGTCTCTCTCTCCCTCCTCTGTCTCTTTCATTTTTTTGTGGGAGATGTAGTGTGAAGAAGGGGTATGATCATAATAAGATTTATCCCACATGGAATATGATTTTAAGTGAAAAAGCAATATAATTTTGAATATGATATTGAGTTTTTTCATGGCATTAAATTTTGTGTTTTCTTCACAACCAATGTGCAATTAGTAGCATGTTGCTAAATTCAATATCCAACTGTTGATTGAGAGGGTATAATAATTTGTTCTAGAATAAACACAACAAATCTCAAATGAGCTCCCTGTTTAGTACATGTATATTTATAAGCATATTAGTGCTGTAGTAGGGAGTGTCCATAACAAGATGTTTTTACTCTGAAAAAAAAAAACCCAGTCTGATATCCCCCTCCTTCGACCAGTCACTACCAGAAAAAAATTCTGTAGACAGACATAACAAGGTTATTTCTGTTCAAGTTCACCATTAAAACTTGATGATTTATTTATGATTTTTATTGTGGGCGCGTTTTCCATGTCTTCCATCCATTTCACGAATAAGTTTATGTATGACTTGTCTTGTTCCGACGTTGCCCTTTTCGGGAGAATGTCGAGAGAGCGAAAACCGGGAGGGAGATCAGTATTTATCACCGTAGGCACAACAGAGTTTGAAAAACTGACCAACGCTGTTTGTAGTTCAACCGTTCTTTCTGTAAGCACAATAAATTTCATATTGATTAATAGCAATTTTGTCTGTGTCCAAATGTTTTATGTCATCTCGAATTTCCTCAGTTATCTGATTGTGTAATTTTACCATTATGATTGCCTTAAAACGGTTTAGTTTCATTAAAACGCTCTTAAATAAAAAAAAAAACAACAACACATGCCTTACTTGGTTCTGTTACTGAATTTTTTCATTGTTGGCAATTTTGAAGGATAAAAGTTTAAGATATAAACAAGGTAGTGTTAGAAAAGCAGATATTTTGTTAGGCTATTGTCATAGGCACTCCCCATCTTAATTGTTAAAAAAATATATATCTACTTTACTGTTTTGTTTATAGTATACTAGATATATATTTTTTTAACAATTAAGATGGGGAGTGTGTTTATAGTATAGTAGATATATTTTTTTAACAATTAAGATGGGGAGTGCCTTTGGCTATTGTAGGAGACTATAAATTGCCATTGTACACATGTAAAACTAAATGACATACTTTTGTTTGTTTAAAAGAAGATCCACTCAGTAGAAAAGGAAACATTAAGCAAAATTCTTTAAATTTTTCAGACTCTCCTGAACTTGGGTTACAGAAAAGTCACAGTTCAAATAGGCCGCGGTAAGGAGCCTACCATAGACAGAGTACCAGGTATAGAAGTCGAGATTTTTAAGCTAAAGCCCAATATCACTGAAGACATCAATCAGGCAGACTTAGTCATCAGTCATGCTGGTAAGTAGTGACTGTTTATATCATGTATACAGGATAGGTATAATTAGTTAAAGCAATATGAGCTGCATGTTTGACATCGGAAAATTTTATTGCAAATTTGTGATTAACTAATATCATGACAGAAAAATAAATCATTTATAAACTTATGTTGTTCATATTCGCGATGGAAAATTTTTTATTAGCTTTAAATGATTTTGATTTTGAGCTCTTTAAAGTTTGATTTTATGTAGTATCTGAATGTACATCATGTACACATACAATGTTTGTAGATGCATATCAGTTTTAGGTAAATAAATTAATGACATTTAATACATTGTCTAGACTGATTTGCAACAATTTGTTACATGTAATTAAAACTTTCTCTGTCAAACCAGTGACATTTAAACTGTTAACACATCTGCATACCCATATGTTAAAAATTATTTGACAATTATCAGATATATAAAACTTGGGAAATAATTTATATATTATGACTTTTCTTTGAATGATGAACAGGAGCTGGAAGTTGCTTAGAAACTCTGGCAGCAAATAAACCCCTTCTTGTAGTGATCAATGATGATTTGATGAATAACCATCAACTAGAGCTTGCTTATCAACTCAACAAAGACAAACATTTGTATTACTGCACAACAAGGTGGGTATCCATTGCTTAACCTCTAGAGATTATAACATCAAATACAGATTATCTTCAAATTCCTTGAATATTTACAATCTATGCTGTTCAGGGTTGAAAAATTTTGACATATATACTCAATATTTTTCTACATTCTAAATTTCTTAGTGGGGATTTTAAGCTTGAATTTATGAAACAGGAGAATGACCTCAAGTTCTGTACATTTGGCTTGTGTTAAACAGATTGAATATACCTTTTTGTCGCTAAATTTTCAAACACATAATCGATGTCAGGTTGCCAAAACGCTGTGGTATTATGGAATGACAAATACCTTGTTGTTAAATTAAGTTTTTTTGTAATCAAATTTTTCTGTAAAATTGAAAAAAATTTACTGGCAAATGCCAAATCTCAACAAATCTAATAACAAATACTGAGAGACAGCGTTATGGGTAAACAGGTCACTGTTGTACATTTGGATTGTGTTGGATGTATACCTGTTTCTAAATAATTTTCAAATTTTTCTTCTCTGATATAATTTTCTTCTCTGATACAAAAGTATTTTCTGTATATGTCATTGGTGGAGAAAAAAAAATTGTGTGCTCTATTGAATTTTCTTTCTGTTTTTCCTAGAATGTACATTTGATCTGGTTTTTTTAGCACCTTAGTGGAGACACTTTCCTCTGCAGATTTTTCTGTATTAAAACCCTTTCCACCTGGCCAACCCAAGAAGTTTGGGGAATTCCTTGACAATTTATTTGGCTTAAGTGAACAGAAAGAATCCTGAGGTAGGTTGTCAATATTAAATTCGGAAAAAATAAGTTTTTAATGTTTTCAGAATCCTGTTACACCTAAGGTCTTTACCGATCGTCTGTTCTGTATGCTTGTAATTTTCCAAAAAAAAAATAAATAAATAAATTAAAGTGAACTTCACATGTATAAAGTGTCATCAGAGATAAAATATTCCATTTCATATTGCACCATCACCTTTGTAAAAATATTTTTATTTTCATTTCAGAAAGAAAAGCATATATTCTGATTTCCTGTGTTTCTCTTGGTGGTGTAAATATGTTGTTAAGGGAACTTTATGTTGGGAAAAGAAGTGTAATTTCTTCATGGAGTGTCATAAATAGACTTATTAGAAACATTCACCAAAATGCAGCTGTAAAAGATACCCAAAGTGAACTTTTCAAACAGAAATGTAACCAAAGAATGTATTCTCAAAACATTCCAAGGACTCTTTCTGTGTCCACTGAGAGTCCAAGAAGATCTTTCACAACAAATGTCATGTTAACTTCTAACAAGCAAGAAGTGCATGATAATGAAGAACGTGCATCTCATCAACATGGTAATTCAGCTGGTAAAGGAAATCTGGTTTCTACTGATAAACAGGAGAAAACAGTGGGACGTCCTAAACCAGAGTTCAAATGTTTCTACTTCTTCCCACCAATAAATATCATAAGACTGGTACAAAGATTCCAACTGCTGGTGTGTGCAACTCTGCTCCCTAGTTGTATCTATCACATATACACTGTTCCTTCACCCTCAATTCTTATGACGGGCTTTGTTGCTGCCAATGTACTTTTCATGCCAGCTGTTCTCTACGTGATGCCGAGAATTATCGGAAGTTTGTCGGCAGGTGGGGTGGGGGAGGTGGTGGACACCCTCAAAGTCTCCAGGTTATCTTTCTTCGGAAATAGAAAGGACACTTATTATAAAATAGAACATGTTAAACCTTTGTCCGAGGTCAGGCATGCTAATCTTGTGTATGCAAAGTTTGAATTGTACAACAGGAAAGATAAGCTATATTTGTTTAACTCATGGGCTGAGGTCCTTGATAAAGAAATGTTTGAAATTATAATGGGGAGACTTAAAGAATAAATTGTGATTTACTCCATGATAGATGTGTATTTTGTATGAATATAGTGCAGTGGCATTAATATAATTACACATATATACTGTATGCTTACTTAAAAAGCGGGCTTCATATTTTAGCAGGTTCGGTGCAGAAAATGATGAGCTAATATTTATGAATACCTCTTAGAATTCATTTATATATTCAATATACTGCACTAAGATGTGTAGTGCTAATGCATGATTATGCCAACAAGTCCATGCCTGGTGATTGTGCTAAATTTTGAATACGCCTATTTATGTACACAAAACTATACATACAGTATATTGACATTTTTTGTATGCCATTTTGAAGTATAATCTGGTAAAGAAGGATTGAAACCATCAGCTTTGATCATGTTGAATGCATTGACAAGATAAAAAGGGTTACCCCATCATAAATTTTAAATTAATTCTGTTTATTTTATAATAAAAGTTAATGGTACATTAGAGAAATATTTTCTATTTCCGATTTGAAAAATAGAAAATCAAGTTATTCCCCTTTTCAATATGGGATCAAAAGTAGCGGTGCCCTTTGAATGACGTCATTTCCTTGAAAATATGACGAGCCCGTATAAATCGAGGTACCCCTAATGCAGTAGGTGTTCGCAGGAAAAAAAAAATCCACTGTTAACATCCAAGTTGAGGCATCTAGAAATGAGTGAAAATTTATCGAAGGATTTTAAAGATTCATACAATTAATTCACATTGTAAAAGTCCACCTCTTCAGGACAAAAAATATAATAAAAAAATATGTATATTATACTGAAGAAATCTTGCAAATGTCAATATTGTCATGCTTAACTCTAAATAGGCAAGCATTCAGAAGATAGACTTAGTACATATACCTATCGCACACCTCTATTCCAACTCCGCAAATAATACTAGTATTTATTTAAATTTATATAATTACCGGCCGCCATTTATTTAAAAAGTTTTATAATTCAAATAGAATATTTTAATGTAAATTAAAAACAAATAATCATCAAATTTATAATAATGGGTTAGATGTTAACATCTTTATTTACAGTATAACATTAATATTTTTTATTTGTCATTTGATGCTTTATTTTCAAAATTAATCAATCTATTATCACAGAATATAGGAGATTTTTCTTTTTACACATCAACCTATGCCACATCTCACACCAAAAGAAGAAGAAATGTAGTGGCGGATCTAGAGGGAGTTGGGGGTTTTATCCTCCTATAGTTGTTACGTTTTATTTAATGTGTAACTTTCTCTAATTCTGAAATGAAGAATTACACCAATCCTAATACAATGTACATGTATTATGTACTGAAAAAAATCCTGGGATGTCGCATTCAAATGTTTAATGTCACAGGGATATATTAATTAACAGATAAATATAAGAATTCAGTTTCTAATTTATTATATGAAAGAATTAATTAATTGTTTGCGGCAACGCTTGCGTCAATATGTTTCTTGTTTATACCTTTTAACAACTTTATAATACGAGTTAGATTTAACATCTTTATTTACAGTATAACATTAATATTTTTTATTTGTCATTTGATGCTTTATTTAATCAATCTGATACACGTGTAGAACTTCACATCAACCTATGACCGGAGATCCTCCTTCGCCAATTCTGAAATGAAGAATTACACCAATCCTAATACAGTTTCATTTTTAAGCAACTTGCATTAATTTCAGGATTTTGTTTGAGTAGGAAGTCATTATTCATACCCCTAACTCAGGACACTCGGTGAAAATAAATAAACGGATTGATTAAAATGTTAAAGATACAGAATACTGGGAGTATTTGATTTTAAAAATCATATTAAGATCATGGACAAGAATTTTTGTGAATTGAAAAGACTCCTATAGGCTTGTTCCCTTGCTCTGAGTAAGGGGAGGGAAAAGGAAGATCTGGCAATATACTAAAGAACAAAGAAAACAAAGTACAGAATGATCAACTGCATACCCTGCTCCCTGGAAGCTTGATGTATTACCCACTCCCTTATTTTTAAACTTATTTCTCTCCTGTTGTTCTCTTAACGCTCCCTTGCCTAAAGGACGAGCTCGAGAGAGTAAGAGACCTTTTTTTATTAATCCATTGAAATGTACCGTTTTGCAATTTACCTCATATCCTGACAGTTGCGCTCCAGGTAAAGTGGTACCAGCCTCTTAACGGCAAGCTTTATGTTTCTTGTTTTTTTTTCAGAAATAGTCTATTGTGTTAGCAACCAATGAGGAATAAGGAGAAACTATCAATCAAACGACTTGCGGTTAAGAGGCGTGTACTATTTACCTCGAGCGTAGCTGTCAAAATAAAGGTTGTGACGTAAAACTGTACACTTCACTGGAATTAATAATATAACAGCATACGTACGGCACTTCACAAATGAAGTTGGCTTTCTTAGAGCAGTCGTCATCGTTCCAGTGGGTAGACTGAGCGGTGTGGCCTACAATGATCTCCATACAGTCCTCATTGGACGAACTGTCACTAGGGTTACCCGGCGACCAATCAGTGAATCCCACTTTCTCCATCGTCGGTATCCATATCCAATGGCCTTCCACAAACTCATCCGTTCCTCCAATCCAGAAGTCCTCTAAATGGGTCTCTAAGAGGTTATCATGAAATTTTCTCCACGGATTTTTGGTGATTGGTATTCAGGATATGTACATGATTTCGCGGAAAATAATTTTAAAATGCATGTACAGTATTATAATATATATTTGGCTCATTTATTTTTTAATTGAGCATTTCCAACGGCTACATTTATTAAACTGGGCATGAAAGTCAAACAAGATATATGACATTGTGTAGAATCAAAGAATCGATATCATTTTGTCGGATAAACGAGTCCAGAGTTGAATAAATTATTAAGTTTTTATATAAACCTAACTTCCAAATACCTACTGTTTTCATGCATCATAAGTAGCTCCTGATATATGAAATTGTTTTCAGATTGAGTTTCGATAGCAACAAGATCCCCTCCCTGAAATCTTTTGCAGAAGGACTAAAATACAATATTTTGATTTTCAAAACACATTGAATTTCATATTTATTCAAATTTTTAACACTTCCTCAATTTCTTGTACTTTCTATATAGTATGATACCATCACATACTTAATTATTACTTAATTAACATGATGCATCCTTTGTAATTATACTGAATATACAGATGTATATGAATTGTTAAGTTATCGTTATATTACCCCCGCCTCAATCCAGTCTGCGGCTAAATGAGAGGAAAAGAAATAGCACGACGGTCCATATTGGAAAAATCCCTCGGGGCAAAAGTCCTGAGTTACACACACTGTGAAGCAGAAATAATTTTTTTGAAATTACATTGTCAGATGGTAAGTTCCTGTCCATGTCAGGAATAAATAAAAGATAAAACCTTTTATAAGAACAATTAACCATGGTAGTCCATAAATTTGTCGTAACATTTTGACCTTTTCATAATCTTTATCTATTCTTATGTACTACAGCTAGTTGTAGTGTAATATGGAAGTACGTAGGGGAACTAAAATTGGAATTAGGATTCTGTGTCGAATCAGTATTCTAATGCATTTAAAAAATTAACTTACTACAGCGAAGGGGTATACCGATTGAAAAAAGTAATTGTGAGTGTAATTAATTACATTTTTGAAAGTAATTTTTAATCAAGTATACTTTCGTTGACAAGTAATTTGAATGTAACTATTCAAATGCATGTACATTTCAAAAAATCATGTACATGTACATGTATTTTCAGTTACTTAAATTGTCAATTACATTACAATTATACACTGAGTACATGTTCAAATTAGAAGTTATGCATTGAACACTTGAACACCTCTCTCTCTCCAAGTGAAAGACAATGAAAAAAATATATTTATTGTGACTTTGAAAGACGTATATACAATTATTATTCATACTTTTACCAATATGTATATAAATAATTTTTATTTAACAAATAACGTGGATTTAAAAAAGTTTCTTGCAGGTTCTTTCAGTAAAGTTTGAACATTTCGATGCATCTCCCAGCATTCTGAATATGCAGAAGCTGTAGGTATTTTACGATGTTGCAGTTTAGCGTGGAAATAGTCTCTCTTTCCGGGTTTGATAATCATGAATTTACCAATCACTCCTTTATCTGTTTCTTTGGTTCCAAGCCTTTTGATTGGCCATTTAAAAGCCTGACCTAAAAAAGAAAGACTGATCATTGGACTCTATATAAACACAGTAATTGGCAAAATTTAAGAAATAATTATACAAGGAACAAGTAACCTTTCTTTAAATTAAAATATATGTAGTCCTTAACAAATATTTTGTAAAATATCATGCTAATTGTCAAATTTTAAGTATTTTAAAAAGAAAAAAAAATCCATTACCGAGAAATCCCTCTGCTTTATTCCCAATACGTTTCAAACCAGATATTGCAATATCCAAATAATCAATGGGATGACCATCTCTTTGAAGCCTTCTACAAACTGTCATAATCATATTCCACGAATTTTTATGTTTAATACAGTTTGGATAGACAGAATTCATGTAAAATCCATATTTATCTTGATCTTCGTTCCACTCGAGTTGTCTCCCGTTTATAAGAATTTGTTCAGGAGTAACCAGTAGATAACGGTCACCAGACGCTATATATAATTCTCCAATATAGGTTTTATTGTGTCTGTGTCTGTCGAGTTGAGCGCTCGCGATAAGTGCAATATTCATCACGAAATCTGCAAGAGATTTAAATTTAAAATACAGAAGCAGACAATTTTTCTAAATTTGTATTGACATTTTTTTTTGTTACGAAAATTGACCACCTATGAAGCTAGGATAGTGTTGATTGGGTGGTGTATAATCGGGGCACGAAATGAAATTCCTCATATTTGATTCATGCCAAAAAATAATAATACCGAAAAACAATAATAAAGTGCAGTTATGTGTGTGGTCATTAATTTTTAAGCACTTGCAGGCTGAGACTCGTGTCGTGATGGGTAAAGCTGATAACTATAAGTACATATGCACGTGATAACACAATTGATGCTACTGTACTAAAATTAGGATTAACTTCAAAGTCTCTTACTATGATTTTTAAATAGATACGTTATCTGCAATTAGCCAATTATTAGCATAGGATATACCGATTTTCTCAGCAAGATTTCAGTCAATCATTGAGAAAATCTAACAGGTAGATGGATTATAAAGTCTTACACTTTATTCACGGAGTTCATTAGATGGAGCAAGATACCATAATACAACGTGAAGAAGAAAAAAATGCACAGCAGTTTATCAATTGATGTATTTTTATTACATCATAAAACTTAGCATAATTACCTGTGCTTGACAGTAATTGAACGAATTTCCCTGCAACTTTATCTAGATCAAAACAAAAAGGGAATTCTGTTCCTGGAATACTCAGCAAGAAATGTGGATCGCCTCCCGCTAATAAAAATAAACAATTCATTAAACACTTTGATCGTTCTGAATTTGTTATCACCCCTTTTATCCTTTGAAGATATTTGATTTATAATTAAAGGCATATTTCAGACGTAATTATTAATTTATGATAATTACATGTATAATTTTACCTTGTATATTCGTCGCATCTTTTTGCTTAGCAATATCGTCGGATAGGTACATTTCAAGTACGTCTGTACCAAACAGAAAATGGTTATTAAGGATACCATTTACTTATAAAATAAGAGCAAACACTCTTAGTAGCCTATATCCCATTAACGTTGAAAACATAATCCTACACAAAAATAAGAAATCTGTTTTAATTTTTCTTTAAAAACCATAAATCACTTTTGTGTATATGTATTAGATTTGAAATGAAGACCATTTATTCGGAAAAGAACTATTTCTTTATCAATCATTGTTAGGAAATTTATTTTTAAAAATGAAACCATTTTAAAAGTAAAATAAGTTTTAAAAGAAAGGCTCATATCCACCCTCTGCAGTTTGGTGATTGAACTGAAGCAAGGTGTCTCCTGTACCAGAAAGCTGTACGTCTGAGAACGGCGTAACCAGACCATACTGTAAAACAATGGATGAACACAGGATGAAACTCAGTCAACTGAATGGTCACTGAAAGGTCTGCAGAGGTCACTGAATTCATTCATCTAATTCAGTAAACTTTCAGTAACCTTTCAGTGAACTGAATAGATGAGAATCATCTTGTGATAGTGGCTGAAAAACGTTTAGTTGTTGAATACATGTAACATGATGTAATAAGGTTCATTGATACTCTGATAACAGAAATAACTCTTAGTGACATGTCTATTATTCCGTTACAAAATTGTCAAGTTGAAGTGTCTTTTTTGTCCAATTTTGCCCCGCAAGTTATGCTATAATTGTTTGTATTTTACTTATAAAATACATTTCTTTTGGATTATCATTAAGGTTTAAACAATATTTTATATGAGTGAGCAGAGAGTTTATGTACCTTAAAGCAGATTAAAATTATCTTAAAGTTATTCAACTCAGTTCCCCAAAAATATATACCGGGGTAACGTACATAATAAAATATGCATGTACCTTTAAAGACATGAATAAAATTTTGTTCATAAGAAGTTTGACTGCATCTGAATCTAATTTTCCCTCATTAATTTCATCCATCATTTCAAGAATTTTCTTGTGGATCCACGTGTTCTCCACAAATTCTCGAAAATCGGAGGACAGACAAACGTGTTCGGGTAGACAAATTTCTCCGTCGGATTTCAAAACGATATACGTCTGACTTTTAGTCATGTTGTCAGTTTCAACCTCATTTGCCACGAAGTCTACATCCGGGGTAATACTTGAGTTAGCTGCGTGCTGAACTATTAAACCAGCAATCGAAATCTCTGTTCCATTCAAATAAGTTGGAAAAAATGTTGGTGACGTCCATGCCTCTTTAAAAAAGGGGTAGTGAAAAGATATGTTTTTCAGCAAAGTCGACGGGATATCTTTAAATAAGCTTGTGATGTCTTTAATGGCATCATCATTGTCATTCACTAGTCTTGTTTCACCGTTATTCTGTCTAGATAATTGCTGCACGAACTCGGTATCTGCATCCTTGCCGAATGCCAAGCTATATATTGGTATATCATAAATGTTCGCGACTTTTATTTCCATTAGAGCTTTGTTTTTGATTCCAAAGATTGCCCCGTCCGTCAAGAAGAAAATAATTTTGGCTCCAAGCCCCGCGTTTCTATCGGAATTTAGAAAAGATAAACCATGTAGAAGAGCAGACTTGATATTCGTACCTGCAAAAAAAATAAATTGTGTATATATATTGATTTAAACAATATTTATTCAGTAAACTGTATATATATTAAAAGGGATATCGATATCAATATGATTTGAAAGTGAATTATATAATTCGACATATTGATCTTCGTAGTATTTCAAAGCAGATATGATTATGACCAAAATAACAAACAAACAAACAAACAAACAAGGAAACAAACAAAAGAAAAAAAAATATAGCATTAAACATTTTAAAAATTAATTTTCATCTCAATCCACAATTAACAATAAGAAATCAATATGACACTGTCCCATTTTTTTGTTCTGGTACAAAATGTGTATATATATGGCATAAACAGATTATTCCTATTTTAATTTTTAACTTTACTAAATATTCTAGCTCTCCTCTTTCAATTAAATTCGACGTTGATGATTTTCTTCATTCAATCACATGTACATTTTATTACAGAGCTTAATTTCATACATACCGCCAGCTGCTGTCAGGTTGTCTATATAATTCTTTGCAATCTCAATATTTCCAAAGGAGGCATTGACCATTTCCATATACATAGACTCCACCTCAGCTTCAAACATTATTATACCAAATTCATCTGTTTGTTCTAGATCACTTAATATATTGTGCATTGCTATTTGCAATTTATGAAGGCGGTGCACCATCGATCCACTTTTATCAAGAATAAATAGTATTGATTTCGGTATTTCACTCTCTAGGATAGGTGCGAAGAAGTGAACAAAGTAATCTCCTGAAATCTTAAATAAAGAAAATTAGTAAGTTTTATGTCAAACAACATTGTCAGTGTAACAAATTCACATCAAAATGGTATTATATTATTAAGTAGCTCATTTTTAACCCTACCTGATGAACTTCAGCAAACTGAAATTTTTAAATGAATTTAGCAATTCGATCATCGATGTTTTATGAAATCAAAATTATGGCATCAAAATGAGCTCATTTGCTAAAACCACTATTTACCACAGTATCTCCAAGGTCAAACAAACGTTCAAGGTCGTATTCTACAGTAAATGTCGTTTCCTGGGGTATTAATGGCATTCGTTTATGATAACGAATCATGCACTGTGAGGGTTTTGTAGATATCCTTGAGATAGTTTGGTTGAATTCTAGGTAAAAACAAAACATATGAAAACAATTTTTTACTTTCATCAGTTGTATTATAAAGAAAAAATTTAGCTTTTCTCCTTCAATATAGCTCGACGTTGATGATTTTCTTCATTCATATAATTTGTAATACTAGTAGGGACCCTTCTGACCATTCTATATAGAACATGTAAAATGTTAATAACTATTTTCATGTTTTCTTTTAATCTACAATTTAATTAAAAAAACACGTTAAATTTCAAATTCCCTTTTAGATGTGCACATAAAGTGAAGAAAAGTATTCGGACTCCGAGTAAAATCAACCGAATCTTATTTACAATTGTGAGTAGTTTTTTTTTACCTGTCTGATTATTTACGGAGAGGTAAGTTATTTTTCTGGTTTCCTGTATGTCAACTTGTACATCATACTCTTCAATGACATGTGACGTCATAAAGGAAAAGTCGAGTTGATATCGCCCGCGTCTTCTATGGAGAAGCTTTTGACAGATCAGAGAAAACTTGACATCTGTTTGTTGAGGTACGTTTATCATAAAGTCAAATGAATCAAAACGTACTCCTTCCTGGTTGAAGCTTGAAATAAATTCGATGTATTAATATTTTTTCTTCCTTTATTATTCGAAGTACATGAATAAATATATGCTTAAAACGAAGGGAGTGCATATTAATTTACCTTTCCAATGTACTTTGTCCAATACTTCTTTTCTTTGTAAAATCTTTTTGTTTCATTTGCCCATTGTAAATAGTGCCATTCATTTCCCTGTTGAAATATTAGATTACTACTATATTAAATTTAAATATACACGTATAAAAATTGTAGGGTTTTCCTTGTGGTCCAGTTAAAGATATATGTTTTGAAATTTATACGAACAACATTTCTCATGACATGAATTACAATGTTTTTAAATCTAGATCTCTTTTATGAGGTATCAAACCATAAAGTGAGAACATAATTTAGCCAAAATTCAGTTTCAAACATCTTGAGGTCTGACACAAACATGTTTATTATTATTTGCAACTTTGTAAAGAGAACTTCAAAAAAAGAAGCACATATTAATGAAAATGATTTATTTTCAAAATATTTAGAAATCAAACGACCTCCAGAATAAATAATCTGATACTGAAACCAACGAAAACAAAACATATGTGCTAAAAATATAACAAAGTAAAGAGCATTTTATTATGTGACAATATAAATATATTTAACTTTTATATTTTGCAATTTCAGATTCACACAGCTCTCTGGGACCCAGTGTTTGAAAAACTTTAAGAAACACAAAAATGAAGAAAGCTGGATCAGTAAGTAACATTTTTTATGGTCAAACAATATTTTTGTATCATTGATTACTTACAGTTTGATATCAGAAAGAAACGTCTGTACAGGAATAAAGAGGCGGATCTGAACAACGCCACTTCTATTTGTTGGGTTAGTCACATGACCTGTCACCAGGGATTTTGCAAATCGCAATTTTACTTCAGTGTGAACCTTGATGCTGTCGATCCTCATATTCTAGGAAAGTACCAATCAAAATATTTTAAATATACTTACTTAAGAGTGTATAATATTGATTAAAAAAAAATATTTTCAATCTAAAATCGATAAACGCGCTATACATACGAAATGTGTAGAAACCGAATGCCTGAGGGTTAAAAATGTTATTCCATCTAAGTGTTTGTTTAAAATTCTAAATCTTAAAAAGGTAAGCTTTAAGAGTAATGCAAAATAATATTAATAGACTATAACTGAAAGAATTTTCTTCAAAAATATCAATGCAACATATTATCTTTTATAAACTGATTTAAGTAATTAAACTAAAATGAAATATACGAGGTTTGTTCGGAAAGTTCGCAGACAATGCCAATCTTCGTTTTGAAAGATAATCTCTCCGTATATTTCACACTACAGCACAGTGTAACGTTTCTCTATTATTTTGAATTTATTTTGCTAACAACTTTTTCAGTAGCATAATTTTGTTTATTAATGTTAAAACTTTTGCTACATCTGCTACGTTTAATAAAAATCCACGGACTTTCCGAACAACCCTTTTTGCTTTGTTTTAATGTTGCGGTTTTCTTTGGGTTTGTTTGTCAATTTTTTGTTCTGGAATATTTTTAGTGTTTCACTGCTTTTCAAATTATAGGAAACGCATGTAGATTTAAAAAGAATTTATATGTTGCTTAACTGTGTATACAACATGTATAGATCTAGCGACATAAAAAGACGAATTCAAAGAGAACTGGATCTTTTTTCACCAACAGATGAGATCATTTTCAGAACAAGAAGCCTAAACTACAATCTGTCAGATCAAATCGTCATGGAATAACACGCACAGGTAATTACGTCATTTGTTTAGTAAATATAACAGTAGGAGCTTGCGTCTGGTTAACGTTTGATTCCAGATAGAATTATGTTCGTGTGAAGTTACCGCAGACAGATTAAATGAAAATAAATCAAAATCAAGGTTGTAATAAAGGAGAACGAAAATAGAGAAACGTTTTCTTTAACTTTTCAGAGACTTAAGCGAACAGAATAGTAATAAAACTTAAAGATTTCTTTTCTGTAGATGATCTTGCAATGTTGCATGAAATACGGTGGTTATATTTTGAAACTGACTTTGCATAAAAGTTTGAATGTTCAGATACCTGATCAATATGTTTTTTTATTACTCAAAAACATGAATTTTTATTACGATTATTAAAAACTACAAATATACAATTTTATATCATTTAATTCTATTCAAGAAAAAGAGGATTTTTGGTCTCAAAATATAGAAAAAATATATATAATACTTTTGAATACTGAGTAAGTAGATTTGTTCTCGAACAGGAAGGCTTTATTTCAGTTTTAAAAGAATTGGGGAAACCATCAGATTTACAAGTACAGAACATTGTAAATATACTTGTATTAAAAATATTTTGTTTGAATTTTTTTCATCAAACATTGTATTGCTACTTTGGGGATATTTTAAATTATTTTATATGACAATATTTCCTAATACGAAATAAAAAGTTTTATAACATTATACAATAGCTATCATTGATAGAAGTTTATTGAATATTACTTTTCGAAGTTCTGACAATTACTGCATTATCTTAAATTAGTTTAGTTCTTGTCAAAAACTGCTTGCAATTTAAGTATTGGTACTTACAGATTCCAGCGTTGAGGTCGCAAAAACATATATTCCCAGCAGATATTCGATCCAGAAAATGCACAGAATTTTATAGAAATTAAACCATTCCATGTCCTTTCACTGAATAATAATGTGCTATGAGCCGATGCTTCTTTCGCTATCACTATGTAGGAATAGTTTGCTGCACGTTTTAATGCACGTAATGAGAGCTTTTTGCACTGTTCGTGTCTAAAGTGCATCTTAATTTATTAATATACATGTGCTGATTTTTTTACCATAAATATTCAGCTATCTTCTCTATTTTAAATCAAAAATTTAAAAAAAAGTTGCAGTGTGTTTTAACCCTATAACTTAACGATACTAATTGACATTAAACTTCAAAAGGTAAATTGACTTTATGCCACTTCACTTTTTTGAACTCTGACTTCATTGTTAACTTATAAATATAGAAAAAAAAATTAGACTAAAAATTTTCAAACTTTTATACTTTTGGGCTTCTTGTATTGGTATAAATTCTATCTAGATGCAATGTAAAGAAAATCTTCACATCTGCTTTTTAAAAACATAATTAAATCACAATTAACTACCTCTTTAACTAAAAACTTTTTTGCAATCTTGTTCCAAGAATATGTATGAGTACCTTGTGAACAGACATCTACAAACAAGCCTGAAACCAGTCCGATTCTTTTGACAAGCACTCGGAAAAACTCACTCGAAATCTTTCCGATTCAGTTTTCTAAAGCTGATCTTAAAAGATAATTGAGGTACTAATCGACAGTATCTATAGTTTGCAGTCTCTGGGTACAAGAGCTTCAAACAATTTGGGAATCCTCAAACGTACATACATGTAGTGGGCTCCTATATTAGCTGACTTGTTATGTATTTTAATTTATAAAGCAGAAGTTAATCAAAAACCAATTAAAACATGAATAGAAATGTGTTCTTTTGACTTTACATCGAAAAAAGAAGTCTATTATCGTGACATTCAATTCAACGATAGTAGACACCCGCTTTCTGTAAGTAGAGCTTGTGCCTTAGAGTTATTGAGTAAGGAGTTGATCCTAACGTTGAGAGTTCGAACCCCACTGCAAGAAGTGGGATTTAATTTCAAGTTTCTTTATTCATTATTTAGCTAAAACAGAAAGAAGCACTGTAAACCAACTTTTATTCGCGTGCAAGAAATTTTCGCGAGGTTCGCGAGATCCTCGTCATCGCGAATATTTCTAGCCGCGAACTAGTCCTGATTGTATCTGTCTATTAACAACAAATCCAAAAAAAGGGGCGAAAATCAATCGTCGCGAACTAGTAAATCGCGAAATGTAGTCATCGCGAATAAAAGTTGGTTTACAGTAATTGTGTGCCCCGGTTTTTGCAATAAAAGCTAGTCTAGGTGAAGAAAGTAATTCTGACGGAAAAATGATCAAGAATTGTAAACTTTTTTTTAAAAATTTGTTCTCGTCCAATCAAAACGCAGGGCATCGATAAATAAAATTAAGATTGGAATTATGATATCCTCACCCTCTGCCGAGTTTTCTCTCCACTTTTATTTTTTTTACCTGTGTTCAAGGTCTTAATTCCCAATCGTCTTATTAATCAAGGCTCTGCTGTGGTTTGAGGCCAGAGAGAATTTAATGTTGCAAAGCATGTTACGGGCGTTAAAATGGTTTCGAAAACGCGCGATTAAATACCCCAAATGCTTGTTCACATCTATTACTGTAAAGAATCAAAGCAAATGCGGCCTTTTCTTCAAATAATAACATTATGGATGACCTTGGAATTTCTAGATGTAAGTAGCTTAATAGAATTTAATGTTTGCTCTGTTGGATACATGTACGAAGATGAGTAGTTATGTTTAAACAAATTTTCTTCACATTAAATGTGTCTGATGCATACATATGATGAAAAACGAAAGCTGAGAAAGAAAATGAATTATAAGAGATCGAGTTTTTAATAAAATTATCAAACTTTTATCAGTATTAGGTTTTTAAGGGAAATTTACAAGTATTTCTAGATGTTATCAAGAATGTGTTTTAGTAATTTTGCTACTAAAATTGCATTAATTTTGAAATATTCATAGCTATTTTTGTAATCAAACATAGTAAAAGGCGAAAACTGAGTATATTACATTTGTAAGTGAAGGAAAGACAAAGAAGTATACACGAAGAAAAAGAGAAAGACAAAAACATTCAAGAAACATAGTTGAAATTTGATTTTAAAAATATACTAAAGTACATGTTGATGATAATCACATTTCCCTAGTAGTTTTTCTCAATAGTATTATCTACGGAACCATAGGACTCATTTTGAATTCGTTATAACGAATTCAAGGCTTGAACTCTAAACAACGAACGAAAATTGGCAATTTTGATGCTTAAAAAAGAAAACACAAGCAAAGCTACAGGCTAACATTTTTATTTATATAAATACTTATACATACAAGTAAAATATCCCTAAAATGTTAGTCAGTTCTATATAAAATAAAAAGAATATTTTGTGAATTTCCGTTTTCAATTTACATTTAAGATCAATGTTTTGGGCCGTACACTGTATACATATTGAAAGAAATTTTGACTTCTTCTACCAAACTGAATATAATTTAAAAGATTTAGAAAGGAAGTTATTTATGATTACAAAAGAAGTCCGAAACAAATGTTATGGTCTAATTTATATATTTTCAAAATCATGTCATATAAGTTTCGAAACAGTGACATGGTGATCATTTAAAGCAATATGAGCTGCAACTTTGATGTTGGAAAATTGTAATTAATTGCATTATTGTTGTCATGTACAAAATTGATTTCTTAAAGTCCTTCTTCTGAAACGATTTAATACTTTATTCTAGTCTAATTGAACATAAAGATTCAAATTACATACAAATTTAACATAGTAACACATTTTAACGACAAAAATGAGCGACCATCTTTCGTAGATGTTCTAGGCAATCCAAGAATTTATAGGCCATAACATATGAAGTTCGAAAGTATCAGTAATATCACTACGAAAAGTTCCATCGAAAATTAAGTGCCATAAATTAGTGAAACAAATTAAAATGGTTATTTTGTATAATAAAACTTCACCTAAACCTCAACCTAAAACTGCAATGATAAATAATGTTCCATATATATCATTAAATACTTTGACATCATGGTGGTATAAAATGATACGAAGAGGACAAAGAATTCATGTCCTCTACGAAATGTAAATTTTCATTATTTATAAACTGTACAATGTACGAATATGTGTGTATCAAAAGAAAACTAATTCAACAATGATATTGAATCCCATAAACCAATATACTGTCCTCAAACCAAGAACTCTTTCAAACAAGATACTTTTCAAGTAGCTTCTACGAAGATCAGACAAATATCAATGGCATCAACGGGGTCAAGGACATCATTCATCAACTTCTTGGGGTTAAGAAATGGACAATTTCTATTTCTAAAATAACCTTCTACTGATCCTTGGCGAGAGGTCATCTACAAGAAAGGACAGTTTGTTAAATGAAAGAAGAACGTACAGACTTTTAGGAATATACATACATGTATGGATGGATCTTTTTGTCAAGAATAGATATGGAGGGATTATTATTATTATCAATCTAGGTGATGCATCAGTAAAATAAATGGTAAATTTACCCGACATTTCTGCACTAATCTGAATATGCAGTCGATCGTTGTATCCTTTTTCACGACAACGGTGAATACCAGTTTCTCTTTATGCTTTACAGTAACCCCTGAAAATAATTTGTTGACCAAACTTATAACACTCAAAATTATTTCCTTAAAATCAACGGAAAAAAATTAGCACCGAGTGACAAGACGATCTTTAATGGATTAATTAAAAGTGTTTAATTTTGTAAAAAAAAAAAAAAAAATCATCACGGTGTTTTGCTATACAACCATTTACTTACTACATAGCTTCCTTCCGTAAAAGGTCATGCCATACATGACAAAAAGCCCAAACAGCATTAATCCGTCCATGACCATATCCGTCCACTTTTGAGACTGTCCCTTGTCCTGAGCCTTCAACGTCACTTCCGGTTTTTCAGAGTTATTGACAGGCGATGGGTACTGATGTATTTGTATAACATTGGCACCACAAGTGACCACTAGTGTCCCTGGCGCTGTTAGAGTTATTTGCAAGGACTGGTCACTTTTGTCCATCTGCTTCGGACCAGAGGATGCAGAGTCTTGTTGGGCTGTCGTCATTTGTAGCAGTATCAGGAAGAGAAATATTTTGTACAACCAATTGTTTTTCTGCAAATAGAAAATGTTAGTACTGTACAAGGTCATATTTTTACTTTACAAATATTTTAATTCATTCTTTTCAAATTTTGTAATTTCAAAATTATTTTAATTCTGTTATCGTGAAATATGTATGATTTATCACCACTCCAATGTGTATTTTTGATTAGAAATTGGGACTTTATAGATTTTTTCAAATGATAACTTTTTTGCAAAATAAAATTAGGAAATCGGTTTAAAATAAGTTTTCTCCATTTGTCCTTTTGTACCTTTCTTTGAAATGGTGTCTTGTAAACTGTTGTCTTTTTCAAGTGACATGTCTTGTTTTCAAATAAAAGCTTTTGTCGAGTCTTCAATCTATGTTTAAAAGATTTTGCAATTTCTTTCTTGAATAATTGACGACTAAAGCTCCCTTTCGGTGCTCTGCATCTGTGCGTTACAGAATCCTCTTTAGCTTTATAATGCCGTGTTGTATTTCGTTGCCCAGTTCTTCTGTAAGTTTCATTCTGTTTCCTCTCATGTATTGTATCCTTTGATGTGTATTTCAGAGCGCTGTTTGGTGATTTTGAGGACTTGGAATGTCTTTCTTTCTTTAAAATTATTTCTTCGTTATTCAGTGATGACTTCATGCTTCTAGACACTGGCAATTTCGTTTTATCCAATTTAGAAGTGATCCCAACCTCAGGCCTTTTCTCTTCTCCGGAAAATGCTACCTGCCATTCGTCCACCTCAGCTTCATATCTGTATTTGTTCATCAACTGATGGACACTAATATCGATATCGCATTTTTCGACATCTTTTGCAAAATCTTCCATAATGGTTTTCTCATCTTCCTCATTGTTGGACGTCTTGCTATTACATGTGTCCACATTTTCTACATATTCCTTCTGGTAAGGAGCCCAACATTTCGACTCCTTGATAAAAGATTTCTCATTTTTTGTTGAAAGATTCAATTTCGCCATTTCTTGCTTCCTAAAAAAATAATTTAATTGATAAATAAAAGTTGAAAATTGTAAAAATTGTATTGATCACTCAATATATAAATATATCAAAACATTAAAATGTCAATTTTAAAATTCTTGTCTAACTCCTGAAAATTATACTAGAGTCTTGTAACAATGTTTTTTAAAAAAAAATGACAGTAAACTAGAGTTGCATGAGTTTTGGAATTAGTACTATGTACATGACTCCAATAAGAAACCAACTGTATTGCAAGATAAGATATTACTTATGTATAATACTTAAATCCCAGCAATTTAGTTTTCAGTCATACGGATTTCATAATAAAATTCAATATATTTGCAGTATGCGTTAGATGTCTAAATACTAAGTAATGATTTGGATTTTCCCGTTATTTATCACTTTACAAAAGTTTTCAGAACGCTAACTTGTTTCAAGTAATTTACTTTACATTGTTGAAGTCCTTAATATAGAATGACTTACAGGAAAAATGTTAAGTTTTCCAGAAGTGGTTTTGAGAAATTGCAAATATTATTCAGTCAATGTTATAATTACTTATTTTTTTAATTTTGTTAATTATGCATATGTGGAATAGAAAAGAAATGAACCATTCATTTTCATATAAATTACAATGTTGATATTATTGGCTTAAGACAAGACAGAATGAAATTATGTGTCTATTTCAATTTAATAACATTTGCTTTGTACTTGTAATATGTTTGTAACATTTACAAAGTTATCATTTATTAAAACAAATGTTTATATCTATGTAATGCAATCCATTCATGAAATCTCCAAAGAAGTTTTAAATTTAGTACAAATAATGTACCGTGAGTGTTGTCCGAAAATATATACCCCATTCATAATGTCTGCTCCCAAGATAATCTATCGAAACTAGGTCATACAAGCTTACAGTCCTTTTATACATGTATTTAAAAAAAAACGAAAGCATTTTCGATTTAAACTAATTAATTAACTTAATTAACAAGAAAGCATTTAAAACTCGGACCAATCCGTTCCCTACAAGCTGCAACATTCAAAAGCATCCAAATACCAGGTATATGTATTTCGTAATTCCATCGTGTGGATATGTAATGTCGATAGATCATCGTCAAATACCAAGAAAAGCAAATTAACATAGTTACTCTCTTTAACGACAATATGTTTCTCTTGTGAACGCTAGGATAAATCATTAAAACCACTCAGTAATTAGAATCTATGAAGCATCTGCTGTGTCATCATTAACAATTTTACATTGATATTCAGTCTAAATACATTTTTTTTCATAAGTCTTTCATACAATAGTTCCATATTACAGTTTAACAACTGTTTAGTTTACATACCTGTGCAGTGTTGTTAATCACTTTAGTAAGTACCAATTGTCCTCTTACATGTACACCCTTCACCTACTGCAAAATGAATACACGTCGAAAACTCAGGCATGCGTCAAGAGGTCAAAAGTGCATCGGGTGTCAATAGTGGCGGTGTAATATTTAAAGAGGTCCAATGATCATAAACTATACATTTTATGTATACCCTGTAGATGGTTTATACATAAACATTTCATTTAGAAGAATAACACTACAACACGATCTTTTACACTTCATAGTGTATAAATTGCATTTTGGTAAAATATATTCCTATTCATAGGTAATCATATACCGGTACCTGCATAAACTTTGCCCCAACGAGAACTGTTGATAAAACTAACAAAAAGCATAATGTCTACACTAAAATGATAATTTTTGCAAATTATTGCGACTTATTGAGTTTCATTTTTCAAAAGATAATTGACAGGAAACAAAACCTGAGAGATCGGTAGCAAAGAAATACGGTGGGCGTTAAATCTTCTTTATCAGGTCAGATAAGAAGGTAAAACCTGCCAATAGATTTTTTCAACATTGTATGTATACATTTAAAGGTAACGAATACCCACTGGTTTTTTTGAATGGGAATTTTTTCTGCGTTATGTCCTTTTGGACATAAAAGAACATGGAAATTCTGTTTTCAACAATGTGTAAAACTTTGATGGAAGGATAAAATTAATAACGAAGTAAATGATCTTTTTATTATATTCTTTATCTAATACTCTACAAGAACACTTTATCAATAAATATGCAAAAAAAAATAATGTAGTAACAAAGTTTAGTCAATTTTCCCAAGATTTAAGATTGGGTAAATAAAAAGGATCAAAGTATTGCAAGGGATATATATTGAATAAATGATGAAATATAGAAAAATCCTCGCAATCAGCAAGAACATATAATGTCATAATAAAAATAGTCTACACAATTTAACATTTCTCTGAAAGGGTAGAAAATATTATATGTATGTAGAAATGTGAATAGACTGTACACACTTAATTCTTTTTCAATAAATGTTATTTTCATTTTTCAAATGATTTTCCTCCGGTGTTTCAATCTAATAACAGCGAACTTCAAGGAGGATGTATTCCCCACACTGACGCAAGTAAACCCCCGTCCCCTCTTTGCAGCTCCTACGGATTATTCTATGGACGCCTCACCCATACGCTGTGTGTCCCCTCCCCCAAACAGGTGAGATGCCTCCACCCCATTCTTCATGATGAGCTGGTATGCTGTGAATGACGATGAAGTAGTATGTCCCAGTTACCGGGATACCACTGTAGCCCCTACCTTTTTATTTAATATTTGGACTAGTACACTTTACATTGAAGCCGTGGAGAGCTGCAGGATTTGTCTATACTCGGCAATTACGTGGGATCATTTTCGTGCCAGCACCTACTGCGGGACCTAGGTTTAAACAGTCTCATCTAAAGTTTTTGCTAAGAAAATTGTAATAGGGGACATTAAAATCTCGCAATCCCAACTCTCTTCTCCACAACACTCCCTCTCCCTCTCTCTGCCCAATCTCACTTCCTCTCTCTCTCCCACTGCTCTCTCACTTTCTCCCCTATCTCACTCCCTGTCCCCACTATCCCCACCCATTCTCCTCAATCTCTCTCCCCGCTCTTTCTCCCCACTCTCACTCCGCACTCTCAGTCCATCCCTCTCTCCCTATCTCCCAACTCCCTCTCTCACTCCCCACTCTCACTACCTCTCTCCCTACTCTCACTCTCTCCCCACTCTCTCAACCCCTATCTCTCTCCCCACTCTCACTCCATCTCTCTATCTCTCTCCACTCTCACTCACTCTTTAACTTCCAACTATCAATCCCTCTCCCCACTCTCACTCCCTCTCACCCATTATCTCCCCACTATCTCACTATCTCTTTCTTTTTTTTCTTTTTTTTTTTTTTGATTTTCAATGACCTTGTGAAATAAACTATTGATATAAATAATACATAAAAGTTTCAAACTTTTTTATAATAAAAATAATAGAAAAATACTTTTCATACGATAAAGAGAATATTCTTACCGTTATTGTTAAAGAAAACAGGAAATGTTTATTCTTGATACATTTTACGTTAACTTGCATATAGTAGAATTGTTAATTTTGTAAAAAATGAATGTAATTTAAAATTGTAAGGGCAATAACTTTACATGTAAGCCATAGAAAATACTGCTCCCCGGTTCGTAATTAGCTTATTGCAATGTATATATGCGAGTTTAATTTTATATGCTTGAAGAACAATATTTATGTGCTATACTAACATGCAATTGCAAGGAACATGATTATTCAAATGCGTAAATATTAATAAAACTACATGACTTGTAATTTTTACTTGTTGCCTGGTTCTACTTTACTAACTATAGATTGCCACCTAGCGTTTTTGAATGCATGGTTTAAACAATGAACCGTTAGGCCATCGGCGTAATTTGAGTAAATGTTCACCTTATTGCATGACCTTGCCATGCTTCTGGGAATATTAAAAATTATTTAATTCAGCAATGAAGCCATTCAATCAAAAAAGAAAGTCAAGTAAATTTTGGGCTTCAAAATTGTTCAAAGTTTTCTCTGTCGCGCTTAGGCGCCTTTATATATGTATGTAACAATATATTGATGAAGTCTGTAAATCGTTAGAAGACTTGAAATATGAAATAAGCATTCAATTCTTAGTCTGAAGGAAGAATTAATTATGAAAAAGACTTTGGGTGGTGGGAAAAGCGATATCAAACGTATTAGAAGTTTAAACGTTCATGACAAAAAAAAAAAAAAAAAAAGAAAGAAAAATGTCCGAATATTTTATATACATGTGTACGGTATGTATATGACAGGAGCAAAATTAATGAAAAGTATACTGCAGCCAGTGCCTGATTTAAAGACAAGCTAATTTTCAATAAATTATTAACCCTGTTCTCAATGCATAAAAATAATAGAGCTATTCAGTAGCTGCAGAAGTGCAGCTCACCGAAAAAAATATATTGAATTGACAGACCGGAGAGCTTCAGTGCCACCCATTGAAAAAAATGTATATTTATTGAGCACAAAAATTTGCGCTTGGTTCTGGATTAATTCTTTCTAATTCCTATCCCCCCCTTTAAATAGGTTTTTCGAGTCCGATGATTTAAAATAATAACAAGATAAATCACCAAGTCTTGCCTTTTGATCTTTTAAAATTGAATCTTTCAGCTTATTACATTTTCCTCAAAGTAAATTTGACAGATAACTATGCCAAATATGAATTAAAAAGAGCTATCCTGGTATGCATAATTAATAAATGATTAATTGTTAATGCCTCAAATGAGTGTTAATACACTACAAAAAAAATATACAAAATGTGTATTAGAAGATTAATATCATAATCTCGGATCATTTAAAAAGACATTATCTATTTATACCAAATATATCTTAAGATTATCCAAGAGATAAAAATCTCAAAGTCCATGTCATTGTCGGTTAATCCGAAGCATGGAACGAAGGGCTTCAATGGGTCTGCGCACTCAGATATATCTTCATACGGGTAAACAAATATCATTAACAAACGGACAAAGGAAAGCGGCTTAGTAATCATTTAAACTTGTCCCTTTTTTGTCAAAATAATAATATATTGAGAGAGTCGGTGCTTTCTTTTGCCCGTTTTTGTGTCACGCGCACTTTGTGTTTGGATTTTAATTGATTCTTCTTCTTTGGCTTACGCCAATATTGGGAATATTTTATTAAGTTTGGCTTTTAAACTGTTTTCATATTTAAAATACCGACTTACTTAAAATTCTGAATTTGTTAGCAAAGAACATTGCAATACTGTGTACACTTCAATGAGATTTATGTAGAATATGAATGGTGAATAGCTGATTTTGCTGGAAAGATGTGCGCTAAATTCCTATGTAAAGTTCCTTAATATATATGCTGTTGGTCATATGGAAAATTTATCGCAAGCAGCTGACCACACGGATACTGTACCCCAGGAATCTATCCAAAATGGCGGCCATGGGATTTCTGTTTCCGGGGAACCACCACAGGATGACCACAGGGTCGTGGTGTCCAGAGAACAGCCGTTAGCTGACCACAGAGTTACAGTGTCACGAGAACCGCCTCAGTACCTCGACAGACGACGATCGTGGTTAACTGAGGATATTCCCGACGATGATGACGATGACGATGCTATCGTCATCCCTATTCTACCTCTAGAAATGGCTGTCATTTGTTGTGTGACAAACTTCATCCTTCCCGGTGTAGGTGAGAATATTTATCAAACAATTTCAATCTTTATTGATTAACCTTAACATTATCTATTTAGGAGCTGAATAACGAGTACTACATGTCAGTCACAGAAATAAGTAATTACAGTAAAACATGCTTATAGCGAATGCATTTATAAATAAATGCCGCTTATAACGAATTGATTCCCATCTACATGGGGTTTAAACACACTAGCTGTGATGATAACGGATATAACGAATTGCATTTAAAATAATTAAGCTAAACCGTCTGTAGCAGACACTTCGGTATATACGCGTTTTACTGTATGCTCATCAGGAAACATAAAAAAATCTCTCTTTTTTTGCAATAGGCACGATGATAGCGGGTTTTTCTGTGCTGTGTTGTGCCAAAACAGACGACATCACACCTAAACAGAAATATTCCTCCGCCATAGTTGTAGTGGCGATCGGTTTCCTCCAGCTGATCATGGTGTCCTGCTTTCTGATTGGCTGGATTTGGAGCGGGATTTGGGGAGTCTCGTTAATAGGAAATTCAGGTACGATCCAAATCAGATTTAATGAAAAACGAGATAAAAATATTCATATGTCTTTATTTGAACTTCAGTATATCTCGTACACGGATGTTTTTACTTCCATTGATATTTAGAAGACATTTGAAAGTCCCAACTACATATTCTTCAAGTGTGTCTCGACTCCTCGGATATCTTTTGTAGATTATCTGTACAAAGTATCGAGTTTATGAGAAAGAGGTTTGACTGTTTTATTGAATATTAACAAATTTAATGATAGTTAAGACTTTATGTTATCTTTTTTATGATTTCAGCTGAATATTACAAAGAATCCGAGTCCTCCAACTGGCGAGACGATAGCCGTCGACGTTTACGGCCGCGGTCGAACCTTATTTACCCCATGCGGGCTAGATCTAACATAAGGTACCATAGTCCTCCCCCGCCGTATGAGATGTACCGTACCCCACCCCCGGGGTACTCCATGCCCGGACAGACGCTAGATCAAGAGGAAACAGAAGTTCCGGCGGAACCCGAACCGGATCGAAATTTAGACATGGTAAAGTCTTTATTAAGTTTTCTGATAAGATTTGCATATGGACACAGCAAAGAGTTCTAAAATCTTTTAAATCAGGTCAAATATGAACCAGAAGTCTCTGTCGAGACTGTAGCTCTACTGGTTTGTACTTATAACAAAGGATGAGAAAAAAAGCCATTGCCATCAGACCAAAACTGTAGGATGACTAGCGTTTTAAAGGAATTTCAAAGAAAATTCAATTTTGAGTAACCATGGCAACATTGTTCATCGAAAGTAAAATCCAATGCACTATTTTATATATCTTAGTATAGTCTACTTGTGTGCCAAGTAATATTGAAATCAAATCAAAACTGTAGGAGGACTAGCGTTTTAAAGAAATTTCAAAGAAAATTCTATTTTCAGCAACCATGGCAACACCGTTCATCAAAATAAAAAACAAATGCACTATTTTATGTATCTTAGTGTAGTCTACTTGTGTGTTACGTAATATTGAAATCAGACCAAAACTGTAAAAAGAGGAGCATTTTAAAGGAATTTCAAAGAAAATTCTATTTTTAGTAACCATGGCAACACCGTTCAACGAAATCAAAAACCGATGCACCATTTAATGTATCTTAGTATAGTCTACTTGTGTGCCAAGTAATATTGAAATCAAATCAAAACTGTAGGAGGAGTAGCATTTTTAAGGAATTTCAAAGAAAATTCTATTATTAGTAACCATGGCAACACTGTTCATCGAAATCAAAAACCAATGCACTATTTAATGTATCTTAGTATAGTCTACTTGTGTGCCAAGTAATATTGAAATCAAATCAAAACTGTAGGAGGAGTAGCATTTTAAAGGAATTTCAAAGAAAATTCTATTTTTAGTAACCATGGCAACACCGCTCATCAAAATCAAAAACCGATGCACTATTTTATGTATCTTAGTGTAGTCTACTTGTGTGCCAAGTAATATTGAAATCAGACCAAAACTGTAGGAGGAGTAGCGTTTTAAAGGAATTTCAAAGAAAATTCTATTATTAGTAACCATAGCAACACCGTTCATCGAAATCAAAAACCGATGCACTATTTTATGTATCTTAGTGTAGTCTACTTGTGTGCCAAGTTATATTGAAATCAGACCAAAACTGTAGGAGAAGTAGCGTTTTGAAAAATTGTTTACAGACGGACAGACAGACAGACGGACGGACGACGGACACCTTACTATCGCATAAGCTCTTCTGGTCTCTGACCAGTAGAGCTAAAAATAACGACAATATTTTGCTATCGGATTTACTGTAGTCAATATCTCCTCTTGTTGTGTTAACGACATTTAAAAATAAGACATGGCTATGTAGATTTATAACCAGAAGTCTCTGTCGAGACTGTAGCTCTACTGGTTTGTACTGATCAAAAACCGATGCACAGAATTATGTATCTTAGTGTAATCTACTTGTGTGATAAGTTATATTGAAATCAGACCAAAACTGTAGAAGGAATAGCATTTTAAAGGAATTCCACAGAAAATTCTACTTTTAGTAACCATGGCAACACCGTTCATTGAAATCAAAAACCGATGCATTATTATATGTAAATTAGTGTAGTTTACTTGTGTGCCAAGTGATAATGAAATCAGACCAAAACTGTAGAAGGAGTAGCGTTTTAAAGGAATTTCACAGAAAATTCTATTTTTAGTAACCATGGCAACACCGTTCATCGAAATCAAAAACCGATGCACTATTTTATGTATCTTAGTGTAGTCTACTTGTGTGCCAAGTGATATTGAAATGAGACTAAAGCTGTAGAAGGAGTAGCGATTTTAAAGGAATTTCTCAGAAAATTCTATTTTTAGTAACCATGGCAACATCGTTCATCGAAATCAAAAACCGATGCACTATTTTATGTATCTTAGTGTAGTCTACTAGTGTGCCAAGTAATATTGAAATCAGACCAAAACTTTAGAAGGAGTAGCGTTTTAAAGGAATTTCTCAGAAAATTCTATTTTTAGTAACCATTGCAACACCGTTCATTGAAATCAAAAACCGATGCACTATTTTATGCATCTTAGTGTAGTCTACTTGTGTGCCAAGTGATATTGAAATGAGACTAAAACTGTATAAGGAGTAGCGTTTTAAAGGAATTTCACAGAAAATTCTATTTTTAGTAACCACAGCAACATCGTTCATCGAAATCAAAAACCGATGCACTATTTTATGTATCTTAGTGTAGTCTACTTGTGTGCCATGTGATATTGAAATGAGACTAAAACTGTATAAGGAGTAGCGTTTTAAAGGAATTTCACAGAAAATACTATTTTTAGTAACCATGGCAACACCGTTCATCGAAATCAAAAACCGATGCACTATTTTATGTATCTTAGTGTAGTCTTCTTGTGTGCCAAGTGATATTGAAATCAGACCAAAACTGTAGAAGGAGTAGCGTTTTAAAGGAATTTTTCAGAAAATTCTATTTTTAGTGACCATGGCAACAACGTTCATGTAAATCAAAAAACGATGCACTATTTTATGTATCTTAGTGTAGTCTACTTGTGTGCCAAGTGATATTGAAATCAGACCAAAACTGTAGAAGGAGTAGCGTTTTAAAGGAATTTTTCAGAAAATTCTATTTTTAGTAACCATGGCAACACCATTCATCGAAATCAAAAACCGATGCACTATTTTATGTATCTTAGCGTAGTCTACTTGTGTGCCTAGTTATGTTGAAATCAGACTAAAATTGTAGGAGGAGTAGCGTTTTGAAAAATTGTTGACAGACAGACAGCTAGACAGACAGTCGGACGGACGCCGGACGCATTACTATCGCATAAGCTCTTCTGGTCTCTGACCAGTAGACCTTAAAATCATCTTAAAATCACTTAATTTCGGCACACTTATTTTTTATCCTCCCTTAACTTGGCTACACGTATAAAGTTAAGTATAACATAATGGTAACTCCCCATTTTTTCTGAAATGCTGTAGTTATAAAGTAGATTAAAAAAAATCAAGTATCTAATTAATAAATGTTCGTTTTTTATTTGAATATAGCATAATTACGTTACATTAACAAGAAATATAAATAATATTTTTTTTAATTAGAAATTAAAATTATTTCAGGTTGAAGAGAATATAATTAGAAACGAAGAAAATAACCCACAACCTCAGTACTGGCAGTGCATGGTGTGTCGGAAACAAAACAATGCTTCGGAACGCAAGGTAGGCCTTTTTCTGAATTTAAAAACCTTCTGGTCTTGTGTGGTTTTTTGATTTTCAACACTGATATATTTGTAGGACCATAAGCTGTACTCAATAATTGTGTGCTGCTTTGTTAACTGTATTGAGAATACAAAGAAAAGAGTCATGAAGAAAACACTAAAATCACTTTGAAATTTCAGAAACTAAAGATATTTTTAAAGATTCTTATCCCTCTACTCCCCTTCACATTTCTTGTTTACTATGCAGTTAATGTGTATAAATATTAATATTGCAATGGTAGATTTTGTTCTGAACTACCTACATGTAGCACATCCTAGCTATATAATTATCATAAATTATAATAATATGTAGTTACATAATACATGTGTACATGCAAGTGCATACGTACTATATATAGTATAACTTTTTATCCCATGTTTACACCTTTATCCCGTGGATATAGCTCATGGGATATCGTTTTCATATCCCACAGTTATGACGTCACAATGGTTTTTGCGTTAGCTTGAGGAAGTAAAATATAGCAGAGTCCTATATAAAACAGTGTTAAGGGGGATGTACAAGCCATATTGGATCTAGTCTGGTGTAAAATAAGAAATACCAAGAATGCGCTTAATACACTACTACACTAGCCCAAAGTTACTCAAAGTGTTAATGCACTAATAACCTACTGTTAGAGACCAAAATTAGTAAATAATTAAGTTTATTTTGTTTTAATTAGGAGGAAATTTATCATGTTAGAACTGCGCAGCTACAGCATTCACGAGATGAAAAATGCATTGAAAATGGAGTTAGTTTGATTCATTGATAATATGGCTACAACCATTTGTTTCGCTTTTTTCTTGTCATTATCCATAATTCTTGAAAATTTGATTTTTCATATGGGTGTCTTCCTGAGGCCATGTGTTTATTTCGTCCGCCATTCCTCTGTCACACAGAGTTCGAATAACATTGATTTTAGAATAAATGCGACCATAATAACATCAAGACAAGAAATTGCTAAGTAATAATCATTATGTCATATTACTTACTACTGTTATTTGTTGCATCGCATCGTCTGAATAATGAAAAAACGCGATTTTAACCCCACTCCAGCAAATCGGGAAAAACTGTTCTGTTTACAGCTCGAATTTCCTTGTTAATATTATTCCACTGAGCACGTGCTTGGCCTGTGCATATATCTGCTGTGGATAGATGCGTTTATTACCATGATTATATTTAATTTTTCATGGAACAAGTCTTGATAATTTGTTGATTTCTTTAAAACTCAAGAAAAAAGATAAAAAATGTCCTAAACATATGTGTTTACGTTGGGTCTTTTTTCTGTGGCGATAGAAGTTATTTTCAAATGGGGCACTGCAAGGAGGATGCTTAGCATTTAATTTGAAAAAGTTAAACAATATGCAGTGCATGAAAAACAAATTGTAATTACATGTCTTACATTCGAAAAGTTGGTACATATGTCTATTTTGTTCAGCAGTTAGACAGAAAAAATAGGCAGTTATAAGATTTCCTTCAGGCACCTCACATAAATAGCTAGATTGTTTGCAATGACCCACACATTGTATGGAGTAATGTTTGGACATAAAAAAGCATCATGTCTCATTATGTTATCAACGTTGTAAGCTCTCGCCCATTGAACACACGAAGCTGTTTCTTTGAAATTTAAAAGCAAGAACAATGTTTGCAAAGAAAGGTCCATTGCATATGCTATGTCTATCATCGCAAAAAACAGTGAGAGGCTATAGCCCCCCCCCCCCCCCCCCCCCCGAAAATCCTATGTTTGTTTTTCAAAATAGTGCCAAAGATTCAAAAAGTTACATTACTTACAAAAAGTTGCATTACTAATTATGTGATGGAACATGTACTAGCCTTATAAGACCATTTGTTTTAAAAATATTTGGTTGCCCTCTCTCCCGATCTACTGCCTAGCACTTTTTTTTATACATCCCATTACACGATATTTTTTTCTTCCGTCAACAAATATGTTTAAATTTTAAGGAATTTTTTTCTCACCTATAAATACCGACCCAATAATTTTTCCCTGAGTTGGGAGGACCACCAAACGTCATTTTAAAGATGGTATAAAATATTTAATTATGTCGATTTTTTTTTACTCTGTTAAATTGTAATTTTGACAAAACGGGCAAATAGAAAAAATGTTTTTTTTATTCATTAATTCCTCTAACCCACGCTGAATGATTTCATTCCTTTTCCAATGTTGCTCCGCTGTGATGAAATTGTATACGAGGGGTGATCAAAAAGTAAACGATATTTTAGGCATTTGATAGTTGTATTATTGTTGAAATATTCAAGTATTTTTCAAAGTGTAAATTAGAGGTCTTTGATAGCATATTGCTTAATTAAAAACATATCCCTTTTCAAACTTGCTTTCAGCGGGCAACATAACAAGTATCATATTAACCATCTGCCTTCCTTCACTAAAACGATCTATCCAATCATTGATTGAATTTATAGGAAGTCATTTGTCTTAAAATATTGTGAACAAATTCTTATACGCTACTTCAAAGGCATTTTTAAGATATACCATAAATATTTTAGTCGTTTGTTGAACGAGTTCCACTGAGACAACCATTTTTCGTGACAAGTAGCTGCATAATGACGTCATTTACACATTGTGAGCAAAACTTTATTCAGCATATGCTATTTACAGAACTTGTGTTTGGCTATGTCTGCACCAAATTTGTTTCTAAAATGAATTTTTTTTATAGATACACATGTATCGAGATAGTTCGCGAACTTTTTGATCACCCCTCGTACTAGTAGGTACTAAAACACGGTCATTCATATCGATTTTATGTGTTTAATTTCTTTGTGTTTCAATGGTGATAATTAAACTTTTGATAGATATTATAAGTTATCTGTGGCAAACTTACAAACTCTTAATTTTTAACTTTGATGGTGCTCATTTTTCCTTACCTGGAATCAAAGAGTTTAAGATTTTTTTTATCAATACGTACACTATTTAACAACTGTTCAATAATAATACTAAATAATAAATAACTTAAAGAAACACTATAACACATTTCCTCTTTTAAAAGTGTTCATATTATTTGAAATATTTTGCAACTGTAATTCTCTTCTACATTTAAAGATTGTTATGTCCCTCCATATTAAGAAGAGGTCTGGAAAACAAAATTCTGTACTAAAAATAGACCACGTGCTGCTATCCATGAACTACTTTCATGGTTCTTTACACTCTTTTTGAAAACAACGATACATTGTTTTGAACTTGAAATTATCATTTAAAAGTGCAAAATTTAGACATTTTCTCAACAAATGGTTGTAGAGAGAACATTAATGCACAGTTTGCGTATTTTTTTTGGATTTTTTAAGGATTTGCTGAATTCTGTAGCTGCGCAGTTCTAAGGAGCATATCAAAAGCATTTTTCTGCAAAAGTATAAATTATATATGCACAACATGCATTCAGTTATGCATATTTATTGTATCTTTATCATAAAGACTTAAAATTTGATCAAAATATAATGTATTTTAGCCATTAGAAGAAATGTTTACATTTCGTTCTCACTGCACTAAAGGTGGCCGTACATCCCCCTTAAACATCGGTTGTGAAGTATTAAACATGGGATAAAAAGAATCTCCCATGTTTTGTAGTTGAATATGATTTTTATCCAACTCGTTGTGTGTTTTTATCCCCTCGCCAAGGCTCGGGGATAAAAATCACACAACTCGTTGGATAAAAATCATATCCAACTACAAATCATGGGAGATCCTATATAAAACTTATTATTAACGGATTTCAAACCTCCGAAAGTCCTTTTTTTTTGCGGATTTTTTAATTACTAAATTAATTATCATTTTTGTTTTTATTTCAGTTTCAGTGTAACCGCTGTATGGAGACAGTTTGTGATTCTTGTTATCAGCAGCACTTTACGACGCCAAACGGGGAGCGGATCGTAGTGTGTGACACGTGTTACAATGAACTCTCTCTCCCAAACGTCACCTGAAATGTACCCAATTTTAAGTTGCATGACGTGTTAATTTATTGAAAGTGGATATTTTAATTTGCAAAGAAGCTCCTGCAGTGGGTGAAAAAACGTGACAGTCACCAAAAGATCGAAAATAATGCATTTTACAAATCTATACTTTTTTTGTAATTTTAAACGTATGTATAATTTGGCATTCTCTATGGGAGTTTCTGCGAAACTATACAAGACTGTGCATATATTGAAAAAAGAGAAAATATACACAGAGAAATACATGTTCCATTATTAGTTACATGTAATTTTTAAAAGTACAGTTCAGTCAACGCGGTTTATGCATTTACCGCGCACATAGTGACTTTAAAAATTGCAAAATTTTAAATTTCTTTGAAAAGCATCACCTTATACGTACGATATTTCTTCCTTCAATATACAAACTAAAACTGATCGATGAAGTTATAGCTTTTAGTTTATTTATTTTAATAAGTTGTATTTAATACATAAAAAAAATGTTAAATGGAGTACAATATTGTATAGCTAATTATAAAAAAAAATCTGCAAAGTGCAAACGTTAATCAAAAGATATCAAGACTTATATGAAATTTCTTTTCTGTAGATTTTGCTGGATTCAGTATCATGATCTTATACTTTACCTTTATATATTATAATAATGACAGATAAACGAATGATTGCTATGTTAAGAAATAATATACCCGGTAATACACTGTATACCTGTTGCATTTTTTGTTGTTTTGAAATAAAAAAAATTCTTATGTAGTTTTTATTCTTATTTTTTGAAAAATGTTAATAGAAAGCATGTAAAGATGAATTTTGCTAACAAGGAAAGGGACAGAATGGACTTCTATTTGTAAACATGAAATTTCTTCAATTTTTTTCTTCCATGGGACTTGATATTTTAAAAATTGCACTCTTTTGCCTTTTATTGGGTCAGGTACCATAGACTGCAAACTCTGCATGTAAAAATGTGATTATGAATATAAGATAAAACCTTCCACAGAAATTACACATGGAAAATTGACTAAATTGTATTAAATGTGCGTGGAATGTGTTAATTAAAATTCCCCAATGCCTAAGTAAATGCGCTTTTGGTTTATTTTAATAAAAATTGAATTTGAATAAAAAAGACCACCGTTTGGTTGGTAAAAAAGACGCCTATATGGGCGATTGACCACCAAACGGGGGTTAAATGACCATTTGGCAGTGTGTGCCCAACATGTTAGGGCATACACAAGGAATTTCAGACGATGACGCATATAAATATTGTGTAAAACAGCCTTTGATGAAATAGAAAGTGAAAAGGAAACTCTGTAAGACAGAAACATGGGTCGAGGTGAGGTCCGCGCCCGGGGGAAACAGGGGCGGATCGCGGTACCCGCTATGCCCCGTCCGATGGCGATACTGTGTTGTGTTCTGAATTTTCTCGTCCCAGGTTTGGGTAAGAGTTATCTTTCTTTTCCCTTACATTGTACATCGAGTGAATCCACAAGCACCTATTTTTCTTTAAGGACATACGCAACGTAGTTCGAACTTCTTTTGCCTTTTTCCATGGAGCTCAAGATGTTCCAGTAGTTGAAGGAACAGTATGCTATATTTAAATGTTTATATATGGACCATCCCCACTATGGTGATGTACACTTCTTCTAAAACAAGAATTGATAAAAGCACAGGAGTTTGCATACCTATCAATTTTACCAAACTTTTCAGTAAATTAAAAAAATACGTACTACTTACAATAATGTTATTATTATAAGTATTACGCTTTTTTTTAATTTACTGAAAAATTCGGTAAAATTGATAGGTACGCGAACTCCTGTGATAAAAGAATCGCCTAGGATGTATATTTAATATTTTTATATATTTTTCTTTGAAAAATTCAAGAATTTTTATCAATTGATATCTTACAAAAAACCCTGATATTGCATGCTGATTTTTTGTCTATGAACATCTGATGAAACTATTATCATAATTTAGGAATATCTTGAAAAATTAGCAGTAGGAAAGGTACGTTGCATATGACCTTAGTTAAAAAAAAAATATACCCCCTACTTAAGGTAGGTCTCGGGTTTGCTTTTGTCATCAATTTTGGTACACAACTTCGACGATTCGAGCGGTTATTTTGTGCACATTTGATTATGACGTCAGGTACGTCACAAAGGCAACGTAAACAACGTAACAAATTTTTGTTTTATGCCTTAAATCCCATTGACCATGCATTTCCTAAAAATACAGGTACTATATTTTTTTCACTCGCTGCACGAGGATTATTTAAATATCGTTCATTCTGACTTTGTGATCAGAATATGAATTTCTCAATACTGGTGAAAATAAGTTGCTAGTCATCCTAATATGTCTCCTCAATAAATTAATTAATGAATGAAATTAAATTTTATATCGATATCACCTTTTAATTCTTGCATATTCCAAAGGTCAAGATATTTATACTCGTACTGTAAATGTGACTACGTTCAACAAATGACGTTGAAGATATAAATAACGCCATAAAAGCAACATTTTAGCAGTATAAAAGAAAACTATGAAATTGTTTACTAGCAAAAAATCTAACGAGAAGACATATTGATTTTTTATGTTAAAGTTTTGATTTAACCTCATCTTGAAATTTTGAAATTCCTGACTAATTTGTCTAAGTCTTAAAAGTTATCTAATCTTTTTAAAAGAAACTATTTTCAGAAAATTGGCTTTAAAAAGTCATTTTTCCATACCTTTCAATAGTCAAGCGTGAAACAAGTACTAACAACTACATGTATACCGTGTTTATAGTAACATAGCTGCATTAAAACTACGTAGGCAAATTTAATAAAAATTAATTAAAAATTGCGTTACATTCGTTCCTGGAGGTATTTTACTTGTAATAAAGGGACTCATAGTACATGTATGTAATTTTGTTCAATTTGTGCTAAATCTCTAAGCATTTTATTGAAAAAGAAAAAGTTATGGTCATCAAAATATATTACTATATAGCCTATCAGAATCTATACAGGTGCATGCATGTTTGAAAATACCGGTATGAACATTTGAACCAATGATTCTACCTAGTATATACCTACATGTTTTTTTTTCCATACATTTCGTCTTTATGGTTTTATAAAACAAATCGTTGTCGAACGTCGGTAAAATAGCTTTAAAGCTCATGTTCTTTGTTATATATTCGACTATAAATAAAATTTACTTTCTTACTTACATCTGTTTCAGAATGCAATGCTATACAAAAATATTTTTATTTGTTAATTCTATAATTACATACTTGTATATAAAGTGTATGTACTTGTTTGACAGGAACAATAATAGCGGGATTTAGCGTCTGTTGCAGTGCACACAGTGAAGACATGACATGTTGCGAGAAGCTGGATAGTTGTGGTATCAGCTTCTGGATCGGGATACTTCAAATTCTCACCCTTCCTGTCCTTCTGGTGGGGTGGATCTGGAGTTGTATCTGGGGCGTGTCCTTTATTAGAATGTCGAGTAAGAGTTCAGACATTTTATGCATGTAATCACTCTCACATATGATTTCTGTAAATCAAAAATGTATTGAAAAATAAAAGAATGAGTTTTTGTTTGTATAATAACGAAACGTGAAGAAGTAAACGTTTGTGACCTCAGAGAACACATTCTAACATCATATTTCATAGTGATTTCATTTTCAAATTTAGGTGAGTACTACACACATAATCCAGTTATGGACGAAGGTCATGTGATTCAATCGAACCAATCAAATGTTGTCATCACGCCTCCTCGTGCTAATCCGCATGGTTATCCAGGGGCACCGGTAGTAGTAGAGCAACCAGGTTATCCTCCACAACATCAAACACACGGAGGTTATCATCCGGGCTACCAACAGCAGCAGTATTACGGACACGACCAACCACCGCAGTCTTACGGCGCCACGCCATCAGCGCCGCCTGCAGAAAGTCAAGAATACCAACATCTGGGACCTAGCGGGTATGGAGGAAATTCACAACCAGGGCCGTACTATGGGGAACCTCCACCTCCGTATTCCGAGTGCGATGCTCCTCCCCTTAAACCCCCTGTGAAATCATGATGTTTCTTGTTGTTTTCAAACTGTTCTTTACATTATATTTTATTCATGTTTTTACCACGTTTATAATAAAAGTAACGTATAAAGTGTCCTGTGATAAGTGGCCATATAGGGAATTATGACGGGGTACATATACATTTTATGTTATGAGCTATTAGATCCATCCACAAGCTGTTCTAATCTATATACACAATGTTCAAGAGAAATAGTTTTTGTCTTTTTAATGTAGATTCTTAGAGACTGAAATCTAGAATACTAGTATATAAGAGATGTTACATCAACACACGGCATTTCAGAGGTTTAATTGTTGCAAAATATTGCTCTTTTGTTTTCATGGTCATCAATATTTAATAATGTTTAGTTTAAGTTTAAACTTTTTTTATGTTTTTAATTTGTGCTATTTTACACGTTTTGCAATTTTTTTGTTAAAAGCATTGTGCATTGTTATAAGATCTGATAATGTTATCAAGTTCTATATTTTATTTTTTCCACTGATTCTTCTGCTCCCTACATGCAAGATAAATTATGTTAACATGCAACATAATTATGTAGACATGCAACATATTTATGTCAACATGCAAGATAACTATGTTTACATGCCAGATATGTATGTTGATATGCAACTTATCAATATTCACATAAATAAGTCGCATCTTGACATAAATAAGTAGCATGTTAACATAATTATATTACAATCTTCCATAAACCCTCAAGGTATACGGTGTTAAAATGTTTAGGTTTTTTTCTCAGTGATTGGGGTGGATCGAAGTCAGTCGATCAATCAGCATAATTTTCTTTTTATATCTGCATTTGGGACATATTTGGACTCTTTACTCTCGGAAATGAAAAACACAATTAAATTTGAGATCACGTAACAAAGCAATCCCTTCTTTTCACAGCACCGTTTGTCAAGGGTTTATGAGGCAGGGTGGTGTATCAGAAACCCTTGGTTAGCAAAGATGAAGAGAGTAGTGTATCAGAAACCCTTGGCTATCGAAGATGAGGAGAGTAGCGTATCAGAAACCCTTGACTAGCGAAGATATGGAGAGTGGTGTATCAGAAACCCTTGGTTAGCGAAGATGAGGTGAGTAGCGTCTCAGAAACCCTTGACTAGCGAAGATGAGGAAAGTAGCGTTTCAGAAACCCTTGGCTGGCGAAGATGAAGAGAAAATATACACAGACAAATGCATGTTCCTTTTTTATTTACATGTAGGTTAATTAGGCCTACTTGTGTCTTTGAAAATGTCAACATTTTAAAATTCTTTGAAACATTACTTAAGATATTTCTTCCTTCAGTTACAAACTAAAACTGATTAAGTTGTAATATTATAATATATATTATATTATACAATATTATATAACTCAATATATAAAAAAATGTGTAAACATCAATCACAAAATATCAAGGCTAATATGGAATCTCTTTCCTGTATATTTAGAACTTAATTATTAGATTTTGTTGCATTCAGTATCATAATGAAATGTCTTACCTTAATTTATTATACAAATGGCAGATAAGCGAATGATTGTTATGTAAAGAAATAATCTACCGGGTAATACATGTTGCATTTTTGTTGTTTTGAAATAAAAACATTTCTTATGAAGTTTAAATTTTTATTCGTTAAATATCCCCCCTCTCGATCTCTCTCTCTCTCTGTGTAATATCACTTTCTCTACGGTCCTAACTATTCAAAAAAAAGATGTAAAATAGAAAGCATATTACTGTAACACTGTAGAATGAACTTTGCGTAGAATTTTAAAAAAAAACCCGTCGTTGCTAACAAGGAATGGGGCAGAATGGACTTAAATTCTATTAATATGAAATTTCTTTATTTTTTTTCTTCTAGGCCTGTTGCACTTGATATTAAAAATTGCAATTGTATTATTGGGTCAGGTACCATAGACTGCAAACTGTCAAAAATGAGATTATGAATATTAATTAGATACCCTGATTTGTCAGGAGAAAAAAATATAAAAATCTGTATTATGATATATATATTATAAATATTGCATACATGTACATGTACTCTGTACATGCAGTCGAGGGGACACATAACTTTACATTGAAATTATATCCTCGTCAGTCGGTTCGAAAACCATTGTCGGATGCGCCTTGACTGACATTGATTTTCTTCGGGTGAAAAACATCAATGCTCCACCTTATTTACATGCAATATTTATGCAATAACTTTTATTATTTTTCTATATTGTTCCAACTATCTGATTGGCTAAAACTGAATCACATGATCAAGTATAAAAAGTGTTACAGACTGGATGTTTCTATTTTAAAAATTTATAAACCTGTTGTTTCTAAAATTGGAAACGTTCTCTGTGAAGCAACAATAGTACTGACGTCACAATAGTCTTTATAGACTGGATGTACTGCGGCTGGTTTTCATTACTGTGACATCATAATGCAATGTCATAACAATGCCTTGTTTGAGAAGGTACTGAGTATTAGAAAGAAGGATTTTAAGACATTTCTTATTAACTGATAAAAATTAATAAAATAACTGTAGCCTTTTGATTCGGTACAATCCCTCGATATATAGACCTTAGAGAAAGCATATCGTGCTCGGTCGATATGATTTCTCTAAGGTCTATATATCGAGGGATTGACCTCATCAAAAGGCTCTAATTGTATAGTAAACGTATGAATACCTCTTCTCTAAAAGAAAAATGGGGGGGGGGGGGTGAAAAACAAAAAATTAAATCAACAAATGTTTTCTTTTTTGTTTTTTTTTGAAATGAATGATTTAATAAATATGTACTACGGTAAAATTTCTTTCAGTTCTATTCATGAGTATTGTTCTTGTATCCCTAACCGTTTCTACAAATTAACCAAAAGGCGATATAAATGATTACATGACGTGTATATTAATCCATATAGATCCACCTCCTTGTTTTATCTAAAACAAAGGGAAGTCACTCGTCTAACCTACATCCGGCTTCGGATTGCAAACAAACAAAAACGAGAAGGTAAGTAATCGTACATCATTTGTTTCAATCTTCATGTATAAGATCTTTTAAAATTCACTTTTAATAGTTAAAAAAAAGTCTCAGCCTTTTCAATAAAACCAGCTTAATTTTTATGGGCTTCGTTTTGAATAGCAAACTGCTGTTGTTTTTGTTCCTTTAGGGCATGTACAAGGAATTTCAGACGATGACGCATATAAATATTGAGTAAAACAGCATTTATTGAAGTAAAAAATGACAGAACTCTAAAAGACACCAAACATGGGTCGAGGTGAGGTCCGCGCCCGGGGGAAACAGGGGCGGATCGCGGTACCCGCTATGCCTCGTCCGATGGCAATCCTGTGTTGTGTTCTGAATTTTCTCGTCCCAGGTTTGGGTAAGAGTTATCTTTCTTTTCCTTTATATTGTAAAGTAAATCAACGCATTAGGACACAGTACATGGTTGCTCTCATAAAAAAATATTTTGACAGACTGGAGAGCTACAGTACCACATAGGCCTATTAAAATTCTTACAAAAACTCCACAAATTAACTTGATCAAAATTCATGGAAAGCAAACATGGCTAGGTTTTGAAATCTGAATATGAAATGAACAAAATTTTAAAAAATCTTAGATAAAACTATTATGATTGATCTAATCTCTGAATTTTAGTTCTGAATAATTAAGTAAAAGGTCAATTGCACGCACGGTTTATTTCTTTAAAAAAAAAGACATACTACAATGAATTTCCAGAAAAGTGATAAAATGTCGATATGAAAAAGCACAGTACACCACATTTGATGACGTGCACATAAAAACTAAACCTCTACAATAATGTTCGACTGTTTTCCTTGTGGGGAAAAATGTACAGATTTTTTTCTACCGAAGTTATGAATCAAAAAGACTTTATAAATGGATTGATAAGTTGATAATCATACAGCCAGTGATAGTAAATAGATTCAGTTACAATTTAATTCAGATAAAGCAGTACCAGTATAAGAAAATCAGTTTCCAGTGGAAATAAATGCATTTGCCTGTTTTTATCTCGGTGAAGAATCGTCGCATAACTCCTAGTATTTCACAGTTTACATGTAGGACTGCATGTTTTGAAACTTCGAAAACTTTCACATGAAACTGAGAAAGTGACAGCAATCGAACAATTTTAAATCAATTAGAATTTTATATACAGGCGCATAAACCAGAATATCGTTACATTCGTACCAGAAGGTATTTTACATGTAATGTAGGGACTCACAGTATTTACTCTGATTAATTTTGTTCAACTTGATTTGTATTAATTTTCTTAAAAAATTTCATTTAAAAGAAAAAAGTTACGAACAGTCACCAAAATACATTAATTTATCTAAGAAGAATCTACGAAGGTGTATGCATGTTTGAAAATATGCATGTGACATTGGAACTCGTTCTACTTACCTATACTATAGATTTCGTTGTTAATGTTTTTATTTTAAAAAAAATCTGTTTCAATATGCAGTGCAAAACGAAATATTAATCATAATAAATATACACACTGTATGAACGTATTTGACAGGAACAATAATAGCGGGATTTACCGTCTGTTGCTGCGCACGCAGCGAGGACATGACAGGGTGCGAGAAGCTCAGTAGCTTTTGTATCAGCTTCTGGATCGGGATACTTCAAATTCTCACCCTTCCTGTCCTTCTGCTGGGGTGGATCTGGAGTTGTATCTGGGGCGTGTCTTTTATTGGAATGTCAAGTGAGACTTCAAACATTTTATTACACTCACAATTTACAATACCTGTAATACAAAAATATTCATTGAAAGAAAAATAATGTTTGTATAATTATGAAAAATGTCCTCAAAAGTCAGAAGATATTATCATCATATCAACCATGTCAACTTTCCAAAATTATATTTCAGTCAATTTCATGTTGATTTCTTTTTTCTCAAATTTAGGTGAGTACTACACTCATAATCCAGTTATGGATGAAGGTCATGTGATTCAATCGAACCAATCAAATGTTGTCATCACACCTCCTCGTGCTAATCCACACGGTTATCCGAGGGCACCAGTAGTAGTAGAGCAACCAGCGTATCCTCCACAACATCAAACACACGGAGGTTATCATCCGGGCTACCAACAGCAGCAGTATTACGGACACGACCAACCACCGCAGTCTTACGGCGCCACGCCGTCAGCGCCGCCCGCAGAAAGTCAAGAATACCCACATTCGGGACCTAG